AATTTCTTTTCTTTATAGCAAAGGGCAAACATTGATTTACTGACATTTTAGTAAACTCTGAAATGCTCAATTATAGCTGAAAAGACATTCAGACAAAACATTTTTTCAATGCAGCCCCTTGACAGTTTCCATTGTGTTAGCATAGCAGGGGTCATTTAATGTGCGGGGCTGACGTGTTACGTAATGTCATGATTTAGACTCCTTCAATGGAAAATGAATCAGGAAATTCCTCATATCACAGTCAATATCCGTGTCCGTTGTCATTACCATTATTATTAACAACCTGCCTACCAACAGGAAGAGCTGAATCAGTCTGAGACAAGAAGACAGAACTCGAAAAACAAAATACTAATTGAGGAAAACGAATTCTTGAAGGATGATCAGAATCTGACAATGTCTGTAATCTTCACTTGTGCTTTTTGGGTGTTTGTATGCAATTACTAAAGTAGAGTGTTGAATCAAATCAAAGTTCTTTATTGACCTTGGAAACAATATTTTGCCGAAAATAATCGTCCGCATACTGGATTTATCCCGACATTTAAACTGCATTTAAAGCATCACATCCTTCCTCCGTGGATGAAGTTTGCTCTGTTGTACAACCGATCTGCTGTTTCTCCATGACAACCAAGCACTGTGGAAGAGATGCGGTTGAAAGCTCAAGAAAAAGCTAGTAAGTGGACTTGAGTTCATTTTTTCTTTTTGTCAGAAAACTTGTTTTAACTTATGACATGTTGAGAAATGTTCTCCGGTTAAGATATGGAAGAGGTATTGACATATACTTCAATAGACATATTACAAGTAGTTCATTTATAAGGTTTAATATTAGACGTTGCCTGCTTGCTGTTGGTAATCACTAATATTTGTAAGTGTTTACTTTGTTTTCTCCGCACTGAAAAAACTTAAATTATGAAGAGAACATGAGTAAAAACTTCTCCACCAATTGTCAATTATACTGCATTACCAGTGGCAGTGCTTTGCTTTCTCACTTGCCAGCGATTCACTTCGTGGTGGTGTTTTTAATTTAATAAAATCTGAAATTGCAGAAGTGAAATTGAGCATGCATGCATTTTGTCAGCTTAAGACTGCCACAGCACTCAGTCTCATGATCTGAGGATTTGAGAAATGAGAACAATCTGTGAGGGCACCGAGCACATGGCAAGAACTCCCCCGTAAATGGCTCCAATTAAAGACGAATGCTGCACTGATGCTTTTGAACCTTTTTCAACTCAGTACGTTTCATCATCTATATACTATGGCTCTGGCAACATTTGACTTCTTTCTGTGATTTTAAAAAGTATAGGTGCTTGACTCAAATGGCATCTTAAAGGGACGCTGTTTAGGATTCAGCACATCTATTAACATAAATGGAATATGATATTCGTAGCTATGTTTTCAGTGTTGCATAATCACCTGATATTAGAATGAAACCTTCATATCTATAGTGAGCAGGTTCTCTTCTCTCAGTCCGTCATGTTGCACCGCCGTGATCCCACAGAAGCAGAGGACCGACGAATGAAACACAAGGTCTACAGAGGGCCTTCGCGTTTTTACGTTACCTGAAGGCCACAGTGATTGTCCGACACGGCTGTTGATGGATGATCGAGCGGAGGGGTATTCAGTTGGATGCGATCTGCAACTTCACCGCTAGATTCCACTAAATCCTACACGCTGCTCCTTTAAGAGTCAACCTAATGAGAAGACAGGAGCACTTATTAAAAACAAATGTGAATGCGCCGTAGAAAACAGTGCTCAAACAAAGAGAGGTGACCAGAAAAACATTGTTGTATGAATGTGGCTCATTGTGCTGGCCCATGTGTGTTTGATGGAGATGGTTGTGTTCACATTGAAGGTGGGTATGACTCACTTCATCCATTAGATCAGTGACTGGGGTTTGGACAGCAGCCCTCCCCTGATACTGAGGCCACCGCGTACAAACTTTCCCAAACAGCCATCTGCTCAGCATTGCTACACTGCTTTTGAATCTTTAAAGAGAATTAAAATACTGCAAATGTAACACTTTGCTGTCCAAGACACAGTCACTGCGCCGCTCTGCATGGCAGCAGTCACACTGCTGTGGGCCAAGTTTCCTTGAGCAAACGAGGCATGTCTGCCCTCCTTCTCTGGAAATAACTTTATCCGCTGTAGGGGCCCTCATGAGATCGCTGCTTCACAGATGCTCCATACCCAAAAAGGGGGCAGTATGCATTATGGTCCATTTTAGAGCAGAGCAACCCTGTTTGCATCCAGTTAAATGAAAATAGATGCAGCTTTCTGACAGTGTGTTGTACTGTATGTCCTTCACCTAGTTTTGTTGGTGTAAATCACCACTCTGGACCAATTATTTTCATACTAACTAATCACACACAGGCTTGCCAGAATGCATGGCTCTCTACTGCAGTGGGAAGTTATGACTTGATTTTGTTAAATGGGAGTTCAAACCAAAAGTGTGGGCTCTTTCTTAATTGGTCTCCGCAACATCTTCCAGAGGCGTCTCTGCCTCTGTCACGCTGTCATGCAATCAGGCTGACATATCTGTGTTAACAGTGTCCAGGGGTCAGGGCTCAGGGGGATGCTGGGTTGTGATTTAGGGTTAGGCTGAGTATGAAGCACTCCACCGACACGCTCTCTAAATTACTGTGTGTTTAACATCCTACTGTCTGAATGCACTGAGTGAGTTCTGACTGCACATCAGAGTGGTCTAAGTGCATCAAGGGTTCATGCTTTTTATAGTTCATCTTTGAGCGTTTATATATAGTATAAACTTATATATGTATATTATAGTGTTGTATATTTTAAATTTGACCATTGTTGAAGCCATTGTGTGTGCCAAATTATGTTATTTCTTTGCATTTTCTTAAAGTACACATGTTTCTATTGCAGTCCAGAAGGGAAACACCAAGCACTGGCTCTAGATTCACCATTCGCTTTACACATTTTATCGTAGGCCATCACATTTCTAATACTTCCTTGGCACACGGGAGAAGTTTCAGTTGGTTGCGATCTGCATCATCACTGCTAGATGCTGCCAAATCCCACTCACTACACCTTCACACTGAAAACAAAACAAACAAGAAAACACAGAAGAGCCGGTAATCTTACATGAATAGTCTGACATCTGAGAGTGGTTTCAGTTTTGCATGGTAAACTTGCAGTATGAAGCTACATCCGGCAGCCATTACAAAGACTGACAAACAGCTAGCCTGCTGTGTCCAAAGGTAACAAAGTATGCATGCTGTGGCTTCCTCTAAAGCTCACCGATTAACATGTTTTATCTGTGTTACTATGAGGTCGCCGGTTGTCTGTGCCCTCCAAAACCGCTATGCCTACAAATTTTATGTTTATGATGTGACAACTCAATGACTAAGGTTTGGCTAGGTTTAGGTACAGCAGCAACAATCATGGTTTTGTTTCATTTAAGGACTTTCTCAAAGTTAGGGGAGCTTCATCGTCGAGCTTCATGGTTTCGTAAATAATGGTGGTCATGCATTTAAAAATAATTACAACATTGACCGTCGTTTGGAAACGGGAAAACGAAAAGCACTCTCCCGTGTTAAAATCAGATGCTTTGTTTGTATCTAACAATTGTTGATCATTTCGACAGTCTCTAGGGGGCTTTGTCATGCTGACACACTTGAATAAGCGTATTTCCCAAAATGTCCAACTATTCCTTGAACATTTCTCTGTGCTTTTTAACATTTCTGCAAACATTCAACAGTGGCTTGATTTCTGCTGAATATCTCAAACATTCAAGCTCCTTCTCTTTGAAATAGATTCAGCCCATGCAATCATTATGCGTTCATTAACACCCCATCGTCTGCATTCAGGCAGTAAAGCAAGCATTACAGGAAGTAGCACTTGTTCCTGCAGCTCTGCTGTGTTTACAGGGAAAGCTTGATTGCAGACTCCATTGCAGCCTCATATTCACTTCCTGTGTTAATCCCCTTTGCTGTAGCAGATCTTTCTTTTGAGGCAACTGCGAGGGCGTGGGGGGGGGGGATTTCACTTCTGCTTTGCTTCACCCCAAACACCATTCACCCAAGGCTCATATAAAGAGCCACCATATCCTGCTTAAACAAACAGCATTGAGGACGGAGAAACAAATGCTTTTGTCTTTGAGTTATATTAAGTTGCTGCCTGCCTTCACCCAAACGCCGTCTCTCACGAGACTTGTTTGCCCTCAAACTGAGGTAGATCATGTCTGACCGTGGTGGCCGCTGCAGAAGCCCTTTTCCTCTGTGTGTGATATGGATCACGTCTGTGTAGTCAACCTGCATACACAAAGCAGAAAGTAAATTCCTACACTGCTATGCGTTTTCCAATTAGTCACAATATGAACAACATAGCTGCTGCCCCAGGCCTCTCCAATTCACCGCGGTTAGATACGCTGTCCCGTCACTCCCTGGCCTATAAACCCTGCAGGCCATGGCTCCTCAGAGAGTAGTCCAGAAGACAGGAAACAGCTTGAGAGGAGCCCAGCAGTCAAGGCTGTGGGAGGGCAGAGGATAGTGTGGGAAATAAGAGGATTTCCTCATATGGTGCTTGGACTTTTATTAAAAGTGCGCAATCCATGTCTGCGTGTCCAACATATGAATAGGTGGTTAATGAATGTCTGATAACCCGCCATGATGGCCTGTGGGATCTGTGATTGAAACATCTGACAGAAAGGATCAATAGTTTAATCTCTTCTGTGGTCAGATCAGTTTAACCCCTTCAGGGTGTAAAAAGCTAAATGTTTTTTTTTACATGATCAGGGATCTTGTAATCATTTCTAATCGTATCAAAGTTTGCACCATGCTATCTGCATGGCCCTCTATATACGCAATGTACTGACAAACCGTTTAGACTATACACATCCTCAAGCATGATGTTTGTCCTATAGGCTACACACTCATTAGGCTTCATCACAGGCTTTGAGTGAATAATTAAATTAATTATTCAGAGGCTTTGCTCTTGAGGGGGCTCTCTGCTTACTGTGTCTTTAAAGTCGTGCAGAGGGGAGCTCCACTAAAGAAAGGAGGGGGCTGCTGTGCACCAGTCGGAGGTGTCAGCCTGTCGCAGCGGCTTGGGGCTGACATTAAGAAGAGCGCGTCCATGCTTCAGCGGGGAGATCCGTCGCAATTTCGAAGGTGCTGATACTCCGACTGAACTGGTTCCAGGCAGATACACATCAGACCGAGGATACATGGATGGACGGAGACATAGTGCAATCAGAATTAACTTGTCAGCCGGTGCGAGGAATCTCTGGATGCAATGGGGAATACGACACCCAAACCTTTAATAGGTGAGACTTGTTATCATTGTGTCATTCACGAGGCTTGCAATGCGCTCACACGAAGCGGCGTCTGCGCGAAAAACCGCTTGGTAGCCAGAGACACACATGGCTGGTCCGGACGCGCTTCCCATCACGGAGAGTTGTGCTCGATTCCCTGGGAGCGAGTCCAAAACAAGCGCTCTCTGAAAATGCACTTTTTTACTCAGTATAGAATTGTAGGGATATGCATGATAATGAATATAGCTGGTAGGCACATTTAGGGCGACAATTATGATCATCATCACCTATGTTTCAGTAAAGCTCCTTTGTTACTATTGTCAGAGATCCATCATCATCAACACATTAGTTTGGTTTTTGAGAATTGATATTGAGTATTGTTTTAGCAGTAAAATGCTACTCCTAAATGCATCCCTGATGGTAATTACCATTTTTTAAATTACTTGAAAAGACCGCAGCCTGTGCATTCAGTTCCTGCTGTTTGCACAATCAGATTGTTTCTGTTACAGCATGTAAATATATATTTCATATAATATATATTATACAATATATGTTATGATTTATTATAGTGTCGCCTGTTTTTTTCTGTACAACATTGTGTCATACATGGAGCAGGCTAATTAATTAATCCCAATGGGAAATTCACACATGAATCACATAAGAAACATGGAATCTTAACTTGAAACTGATCAAACACTACGATACAATTCTTTAATACATATAATGTTCTGCAGTTTTCCTGAGTAATTATTCCTGCATGTGAAGTGATCATCAGCAAAACGTTTTTGCATAAAGCTGTGATTATGAGCTCTCAGAATATCACGTTGTCATGACACCGACAGCACATCACTTGACAATCAGTTCCCCATCTCACTTTGATTTAATATCTGTCACACTCCCACGCACCCCCCCCCCCCCAACAGACCAACTCAGTGGCTGGATGATGTGGTTGCTGCCACCAGAGCCAGCTGACGTAGGGTTTGGACTGAGAACAGTTAGTCACAGAGGAGCAGGCGCAGCGTGGGTCCTTGCTTGCACTGTATGGTTTCGATTAACATGGAATTAATAGAATATCTGTGTTTACTGGGTCTGTTAGAGATGTGCACAATACATCAGACAGTAGGTTTTCATAGGTTCATCTCAAACAGCATATCATTTTTGCAGGCGTATGTGTGATGAAGAAGTCATCAGCTGTGAAAATAGTATCAAGTGATGTCACCGAGGAGTTCCCCCCCCCCCCCAGAAATTCATGTTTTACGATTTCTAGAAGCAAAACAGACCCTAAAATCCATAGAGGTTCATGTCTTGCTCACTGAATGAGTTTACATACAGCCTAGAGATATGAGAGAATAAATAGACTCATCATCAAAGATAAAGTCTGACGGATGCACATAATCAGTTTCACATTTCAAAAAGCCTTCCTTGGCACGGCATTTGCCTTGTGGAGTCTTATGATTGCATTTATTTGCGCTTTTTCTTTCATCAGGAGAGACCATTCCCATAATGCACAATTGAAATTCTGATCCTGAACAGGTCTCTGTGTGGTCCCACTGTAATTTCAGTCACTTTCCAGTCCTAACTTCAAAGGGTGTGTTTCTGACTGTCTCCTATCTCTTGCTGTTCTTATGATTTTGGTGGCCCATCATGCAAGCATCACATTGCTGTTGGCAGGAGGTCTGAGTAGTCATCTACCTCTGGCATCAACTTAGCTCAAGCCCAAGGTCATGTATTAACCTTTACATTCAAGTCACAGAGCTGATGATTTAATCATCCAGAAAGTTGTTTCATAAGGCTTACAGCTTTTCTGACAGTACCTCCAGAATCATCAAAGACTCTTCCAACCATCTGGTCTGAGCTGCAATAAAAAAAGTATTAACCTTAAACTATATTTCCTCTCCAGGAAGCTGGAAATGACCTGTACCCTCTCTCTTTTTGTGCCACAACAGATTTTTTTTGGTTGGAAGACTTATTTTGCTTTAATCAATTAAAAAGCAAAATTATTTAAAATGCTCTGTAAAGGTTTTTGGAAAAAAACTAAACATTTACATTCGTAATCATGTGTAATCTTGCATTTCTTTCCCCATACAACATAAGCATATTTTGCAAGCCAATCATCCATGTTTCGTTGCCAGCTGTCTTCTTCTTCCCTGCCTTTATTGACACATTGCTGCATTTACCACATTACCACCGCCATGGTGTTAAACCATTGGCAGGGCTGCGCGTTGCATATGCGTGTGTGTGTGCACCAGGCAAACAAAATGGGGACTCACTTAATTTAAAAAACAGTTCCACGGCGCTGCTAGAGGTCAAAACCTCTGCAAGTTTGTTTTACATTGTACAAACAAGCAAAGACAAACAAGACATTTTTGGCTAAAATCCTTTTACGCTGTGCCATTTTTTTTTAAACCAGAAAGTAAAAAGAGTTTTTTCACAGCAGAAGTAGTTGGGCTACTCCTCAGTACATGACCTGGTGGGCTATGCCTTTCATCTAATAATGGAAAACAAGTGCCTATAACTGTCTTCACTGTAGATCCTTTAACTGCTGAGTGCCAGTGCGTCCATCTGTCAGCGAGGCAGTTGAGCCTGAAGCCTGTCGGCTGAACCTCAACTTGTTTTTCTCCATCATCTTTACCTAAAGTATCAGTATTCTACTCCCCCAAAAGGCAAATTCCAAGAAGTAGAAAGGAGAGGGGCACCCACACATCATTTGAGATGTTACAGATGTTCTTCCTGCTGCTTCATAGTTTAGAATATAATCAGTGATAATGTCTAATTTAGGAAATGTACTGTGGAACATTTCACTGAGTTATTGTCTTTACACCAGATCACAGTGAATTTTAAAGAGAAATGTAATCACTCTGTGGCCCTGGAGGCGAGTAGAAACAACGCCTCCCTTTGAATATGACTTTTAACCATAAACACCCATCTCCAACTCTCATTTGATTTAATATAAAACCCAAACAGTCTTTTTTAAGCAAATGTCCACTTCGTCTCATTTGATTTCTGATCCTTGTTAATTTGTTTTGTGATGCTTCGTGAATAATTCTTCTCCCTAGAGGGACATTGACTCTTGTGAAGATGAGATCGAAGATTAAGCCTTTCATTTGGGAGTTTCTTCACTGACTTGGCGCTGTGTGATTCATTCTACTTCTGAAGATCACTGTGGAGGAATGAAAGGGGCTATTCAGGGTTTGTTTATGCTGTAGGCCAAGGGTGTGTGTACCCCATAAATAAGAGGAGGGCTTATCACATCTGCTGTCGACTTTCTGTTGATTTTCGTTGTTGTTATATTTTCTCTCTACTGATGCTATTAATAATAGCACGGCTCAAATATATGAGGATTTTATATAAGCCAAATATCCCTTTTATGTTTGCCACTGATGTATGCTCATGGGGTTTGTCTAAATTTACCGTGTGTTATTTCTGTAATATAAATGTCCCATATGGATGTGGTAAGAAGACTGATTTGGGACAGTTGTAAATGTGGGTTACATACTGAAAGAGACTATTTAATGTACTTGTTGAGAGAAGCAGAGAGGCTTTATGGTGTCAGCGCTGGAAAGGAAGTGCGTGAGACTGTGGGCTCTTTTACATAACTGGCCTCTGCCCTCTAAAGTAACTGCCATGGACCACTTGCAAACAAGTTATTTTGCGCTGATTTGTTCATCTCTTTTTCCAGCTGCTGTTGTCACTAGCATTCCTGTTTTGACCTTGTCTGAGTCGCACAAAAGCAGACCTGCTGTTCACATACCACGCTGCTGTCTAATTTGGTTGATCAGGTTGAATCATTGATGGCTTTCTTTTCTCTACACTGCACCCCTGATATGTTGGTGCCCACAGATGCAACTCTGCAACCCCGTCCGGTGGCCAGCAGGCAGTACTACAATCTTCCGAACAATGGGGCCGGAGTGGAGAGGAGAACGTCTGCTGCTCCGGTCAGCATCAACATGGAGTCACCTCGCTTTCACCCCCACGCCAAAGGCAAGAACATCAGGCTGGATGGGCAGCTTCGCCGTGCCACACGCAAGAACAGCTTCTGTAATGGCATCACTTTCAGCCACAGGCCTGTCCACCTCTATGAGAAGGTTCGTTTTCAACTCTGTGATACTCGCTCTTTTAAATGCTAAGCATGAGAAGAATAGAAGTTACATTTTGATTAACATTTATTCAGGTGCGTCTTCGCCTGAGTGGTGTGCACACTGGCTGGAGTGGAGCTCTACGCTTTGGTTTCACCAGTTTGGACCCCAGCGAATTGGTCGCTACAGACATCCCCAAGTACGCTTGTCCAGACTTGGTAACACGGCACGGCTACTGGGCCAAAGCTCTGCCTGAGAGACTGGCCTTGAGGGACAACGTGCTGTCATTCTGGGCTGATCGTCATGGAAGAGTTTTCTACAGCATCAACGAAGGAGAGCCCATCCTCTTCCACTGTGGGCTCAGCATCGGCTGTCCACTCTGGGCCATCATAGATATCTATGGCATCACTCAGGAGGTCACACTGCTTGGTAAGCACTTTGTTATGGTGTTTACTTGCTCTGCGAAATGATAAAATACTTATTGTTTTTGTCATGACTGCAGCCGAGAGAGGCGAGCAGAAGCTGACTCATTTTCAAAAGAGAAGTGAGAGGAACACATTTCACAACTGACTGGTCATGAATCTGTACACAATACATCATTACAATTCATATAAATCTAACATATATATATATATATATTTTACTGTAAACAGAGTCAGATAAAAAGCCGTGTATTTTGACCATGGCTTTAAAAAACCCAAAACCTCAGGAACCTATTTTTATAGTGTCAACAGATTCACGGCTAATTTAAGCAGCTTTGACATGAAGCTCTGCAGCAGTAGAGGCCGATGATATAGTGGGAGTAAGTAGTAAGGCCTGGGGTGGCTCAATGATATGCTATCTGTGACTAAACTTGTTTGTCTGGAAAACCAGAACCATAAACAGGATGTGAACCACGGACCTCAATCCACCCTGAACATCTCACTCCTAACCGCTCTCCACTCTCTTACTATCACTTTCCCTTCGCTTTGTCACTTTCTTCCTTCACTTCCATCACCCTCTCCCCTGTGGTTCCCTCTCGTACTCACTGGGTGTGTTTATCTTCAGTCTGACAAGAGCTATGGCCATGTTTGGTCAAGGCGGCAGATCCCAGGAGCTTTGGAGGGGCCAGTGCACTCAACTGCTCCAGCATCACTAGAAATAGTAATAAAGGAATGCATCATAAGTCAAAGGGGGACTACTAGCACCAGACGTCTTTATATCAGCCCCTCAGCTGTACTATGAGGTCTGTGCATAAAGCGTGGAAGTCTAGAGAGCTCATGTTAAGGAAGAAATTTGATGGTTACTTTCAAATAAACTGCAGGCTAACACAGCTTACTAAAAACTACTTCACATCACAGTTTTCTCATGTTTTATAGATTATTAATCAATTGGGAAGAGAGCAGGAGTAAATTATTCATTAGTTGCAGTCCTGTGATATGCCTATAAAAACAAAAGCACTTATAGAGCAAAAGCAGACATCAAAGAGGCTGCGGTAACATGTAGATAGCATCTCAGCATCCAGCTTTTCCTCAGGCATCATAAAAGAAAAAAGCACTTTAAGTGTCCTGAGCTTACTTGGGACAGATCATATAAAACTATGTCACAAACTTGTTTGTTCATATTCTCCACCACAGAAAGCACGTTTGCTGAGAGTGTGGGATCCAGCTGCCTGAGTGCGGCCCGCCTGAGTGCCTATCTGCCCCAGAGCAGCCACGACTCAGCCAATTACAGCAACAATCAACTGGAGAACAACCAGGCTGCTGCTGCCAAGATGGCCAACCTCCAGATCAATAACTACACACAGCTCACCCCCTGCTGCTCCTCCACCTCTTCCTCCTCCACACTGTCCTCATCTGCCTCCACTGGATTCAGCACCCCTAGGGTGGTCCGGGGTCTTCCTTCTCCGCTTGACAATGACTTGCACTTTCACCCCGTCCGCGGCTCTGACGTAATACTCTCTGCAGACCGCTCGGCCGCCTGCATCCACTTTCTGGACAGCAGTCGGACTCTGGTATTCAGTGACCGGCCGCTGCATGTAGGTGAGACTTTGTACGTGGAAGTCGGCCACCTGGGCCTACCCTACTTTGGGGCGCTGTTGTTTGGTTTAACATCCTGTGACCCGTCTAGTCTACATGCCGGGGACTTACCGGCAGACCCTGAAGTTCTCCTGGACCGTAAAGAGTATTGGGTAGTGCATCGGGGCTTCCCCATGCCTTGCTCTGGGGACGTGCTCAGCTTCAGTCTGCTGCCCAGCGGAGAGGTGCACCACGGGGTGAACGGAGTGGGACGTGGCAGGCTGCTCTGTGTGGACTCCTCTCAGGTCCTGTGGGCCTTTTTCAGCCTGCATGGGGCTGTCAACAGACTCAGGATACTAGGTAAGCTGAGTGCATTTACAGCAACACAGAGAGTGGATATCATGAATATAAACCATAAATATTCCTATTTGGTTTGATTTGGTCAAACCCCTCTGTGAAAACCTTTAGAATATAAATAGGAATGAAACTGGAATGTTTGGTGTACTGAAGTGAAGGTTTCAGGCTCAGAGTCTGAGAAAAAATGCCCTTTAAAGATATGTTTTGTAAAATTCCATATTTTGAAGACACTGCAGGTGGATACGGTAAAAAAAATCAATATATATCACCATGAAACTTCCCCAGTTGATTACTTACATTAACACATGTTTTCGTGTTACACGTTTTTAGAAATTCTATGTTTAAACATGCAAATAAAGCTTTAACTTAAGCTAACTCTTGTTGAATTTGGGAGAAATCTACATTCACAAATAGACAAAGTAGTGAAATAAACAGCTAAATGTTTTCTTTCCACCAGTCTGAAAGAAGACATGTTATGGAAGCAAAATAGCCCAAAATCTCAAAATTGAACAGTGCATGAAAAATAAATTTGATAAAAACCCCAAAAGGACATCAATCATCATCAGTCTATTATTGAGTCTGGGGAGCCCCTGGAGTTATTTTCTCCCAGACTAAAGGAATGCATTTGAGTAGCGTGTGCCTCTTCAGTTTCGAGCTGTGACCTATCGGTCTTAAAGTCCCACTATTCCCACATAAACTCCCATCAGCTCAATATTATCATCAAACAGAAACTAAAAGAAAATCACTCTATGAAACTTAGAAACACAAATATGCATATCTAATCAGACTGATAAGGTTCGGTCTGCAGCCTTACAGTTTAGCGTTACACTCAAACAGGTCAATGTCTCTGTATTGGAATGATATCGACGACTTAATTATCTGGGTTTTGTTTATGTTTGTGACACAGGAACTCTGCAGTGCAGTCCTCCCTCCACATCTCCCAGCACTTCTCAGAGCAGCAGTCCAGACGACAGTGACTCAGACCTGGCGTTCAGTGTCAACAGATCCTCCTCTGCCTCTGAATCTTCTCTGGGTAGGTTCCCTCATGTTGACAGCAGGCCTTCGGTGTATGTAGAAACCCCACGAGGTCACAACAGGAAGGCGGTTATGGTATAGAGGGAAAGACATTTTGTTTCACTTTTGAAATGGCAACAACAGATCTCCGTTCTTATATGACATACCTCGATGATTGGGTACATATTAGAGCTGCAAAGTTTATTTGAGTAATCAATTGGTCAACTGCCAAAATTTTTATTTTCATCATCAATCAAGTCATCTTTAAAGTAAAACATCCAAACATTCTCTTTTTTAAACCTCTGAAATGTGAACATTTGCTGCTTTTCCTTGCGGGAACATTATATTGAATTGAATGCTTTTGGGCCGTGGGGTGCACATGGATGACGTCAACTTTGACTCTCGGAAATTGTGGTGGGCATTTTCATCTGTTTTCTGATGTTACATATATTAATCAGGAAGATAATCAGCAGATTAATTGATTATGAAAATATCCGTTTGTTGCAGCCCTAACACATGCTGCTTTTTAAAAGTTTGAATAATTTATCAAAGATTAGATTCTGACATGGAAATTAGGATTTGTCATGGCTAATAAAAAATGAAAACAAAAAACGCGCTCAAAAACACAAAGAATACAGAATATATAAAAGCAACACCATTGAAGATCTGAACCTGGCCTACTCTTCCCACAACAACGAAAAGAACAGAATAGTTACCTGTGTACATACATCCACGTCTGCTCCATTTCCAACACTAGTGTTTTCTTTCTTCTCATCTAGTGACTGCTCCCAGCTCCCCTCTCAGTCCCCTTGTCTCTCCCACTCTCACCGCCTCAGAACTGCCCTCTGCTGGTAAAAACGGAGAATGCTCCATTTGCTTCGACCAGGACGTGGACACGGTCATCTACACCTGTGGACACATGTGTCTGTGCAATGACTGCGGGCTTAAGCTGAAGAGACAGATCAATGCGTGCTGTCCGATATGCAGGAGGCCTATCAAAGATGTAATCAAAACGTATCGGCCGTGAACGTCCAGATGTTTTACACAAACAGGTGACATGACTTTCCCTGCTGGATGCCACCTGCGTCCCCTTCTCAGGCTTGGTTGGACAGGGCTCTTGGTCCCGATCGGAGATTAGCCACACCAGAACATTATTGTGCCTATATTTCCATTGAATCATTTCTGGAGATGCTCTTCGTATGCAGAGCTATGATGGAGCTCATCTTATTACATGGACTGATGCATGAGCTCCTTTGTTTTGTCTGAAAAAGAAGAGCTGTCTCATGTGCTCCTGTTTTGTATTTTCAATGTGATGTCTCTTACGTCACATGTATTTGCTGAATATCCTGCTGTCAATATTTTGTCCTTAACCGATATTGTCCTAAATGTATGTGTGCTTCAGCAGAATATGTGGACCGTAGTGACTTATAGTGCCTTAGATCTTTGTCACATAGTGTGTCCAAGTAATCATGCTAACAATCCTAGCCATATTTTCAATGTACAGTAATGAAAGCTTGTGGCGAAAAAGACACGCAGATACAGAATACATGCAATAAAAGGTGTAATGGTAAGTGGAAAGATGTAAGTGTATGGTAAATGTGTTCAATGGCTTGCTTTAAGAAAAGACATATCTGGATTTGCACTTTGAGAGATTAATAAACGTGGACTAAGTATGATTAAAATGTGTGTAGTTTAATTAATAAGACTTCATTTAATAACATTCCAAGGACCAGTGAGTAGGAGTTAGTGACATCTAGTGGTGAGGTTGAAGATAGCAACAAACTTACTACCCCTGCGATCGCCTCTCCTTTTCTAAGAGTGTTGCAGAACTGCGATGGCCCTCAGGTAATGTAACAATGTGAAAGACTCATCTAGAGCCAGTTTGGTTTGTCCATTCTAGGCTACTGTAGAAACACGGCCATGCAACATGATGGACTGCAGGAAGAGGACTGGCTCCCTATGTAGGTATGAAGGTCTCATTCTAAGATAACAAAAACACAATGAGTCTTAGTTTCAGGTGATTATACTCTAATGAAAACATAGTTATGAATATTATATTCCATTTCTGCCAATCAATCTCCCTAAATCCTACAAACTGCCTTTAAAGAAACATGTTTTCTCCATCAGGATCATGATGATCATGATGGGTAATGAAGCTTACAGTGTGTACTGTAAATTCAAGGTTATCACATATAAAAATATGACATATTAACAGAATATCTTTCACAATAATCTTTGCTAAATCAAGGGCTGTATTTTCTTGTAATCTGATGACGATCATGTGACGTGATCAAACGTTGAGTGACCATGACTGACCTTGAGTGTTTCCAGGGTCAAGTTGAATTTAAAACTCAACTTTTAATGATGAGAAGTCATAAAAAAATGAAATGTGTAAATCTTTAATTCCACGACCACTGGGGGGGATCTGGTGATGAAGATCATCTGATATGATAGAAAGCTCATGTGGAAATGAAAACCCTGTGGAAGGTGAGTGCACATCGGACCTAATCAGGTGACTAGATTTGGCCTCAATGGGATTCTAAAGTTTCTCATGTATTTGCTGTACAGGCTGTTTGCTTTCACTTGTTAGCTGTACGTCATTGGGAACTAAATGTAACTGTTAGCTTATTGCTTCTAACAAAAAATAATAAATACAGCAAAGTTGTGAAAGACAGCCCATACCATAGAAACCCTTTTTTTTTTTCCAGAGCTGTTGTAGCATGATGCTAGTGCCTGGAAGTTTCAATATTTTTGGTGAATCAATACAAGCTGAGTCAGCAATGCTGAACCTCTGCAAAGTTTTGCTGTGCACCTAAATAAGTGATGCGGACCATTTTGGACCATTATTAGCAGGCACACTATTGTGTTGGTTGTGAGGCATAACTAAGGTAATTTATTGGCAGTTTATAATTATTACCTCCTCAATTACAATTAGCGGCTCATAGTGAAAAGACTTATGGGGTGTTTTCTTTCTTACAGTCATGGATATCGTGTGGAAGTAAAGCAATTTGCTTCATTATCCTTCCAAAATATTAAGCATCCGGCAACATAAAGCATAATGAAATCAAGAAGTGTTCTTAAAAAGAACAAACATTCCTATTTTTTCCAGCTGCAGTTTGCATCTGTCGAGGTTTTTTTATGATCGCACATGGTGTGCGACCACTGACATCCCGGGATGAGGACATCTTTGCCTGCGGTGAAATCCACAAAGTGAGCCCATGCTTTTCAGAACCAGAACTACCAACATGGCCCCAGTGTTTTGACAGTTCGGGCGCCTCTGTTGTAATCGTTGAGTGTGTTTATGTCGGCACTTCCCGGAGACCTGTCACGTTCTGCTGAGTTATGCAAAATCTATCCCCTGGGCTAAAAGTAAAGTTGTTTTTCCTCACGCAAATTGACTCGTGTCACAATTTACTGTATCACACAGCCACAGTGCTTGTGTGACCCTGTTGGTTTCTCCTTCTACCTGGTGAACTAAATGCTTTCCAGCAATTTGCAAGTAACTGTTCTTTGGGTTTTGGACTGAGCCTTGTTCCATGGTTTGGGATTCAGCCTTCTTTGTGGCTCAATCTCATTCTCCATACTTTCAGACTCACAGACTTCGAGGCGCGCTCCTGTAAAGTCCGTGAGGGTTTAGTGCTGTCCCACTGCCAAATCATCTAATGTTTGAGGGCTCTCCCGAAGACATTTTGAGCCCTTTATGAAGCCTTTCTGTAAGTCAGCATGAGATGCAGACTTTGCCCAAGGAAATGACCCACAAATCATTGCAATGTGACGTTAAACACAGTAACTAGTGGAAGCATAAAGGTAAACAAAGAGGAATCGAACTTGCATCCACACTATTAATTTCAGTTTTTGTAAATATCATCCACACTGAAACCACAAAAAGGCAGCAAAACAGTGAGATCTCGTCTTCTTCTTCCTCTTTTCTCCAGCAAATAACAAGGCTGTACACAGCGGTCAGGAGATAGTCATGTTACAGTCATGTTACTCTGCTCAGTCTCAGTAGGTCAAACCTCCACTGTGTACCCTCCCTGTGTGTGTGTTCACATGATGGTTGTCAGACCACACTCACGGCAAATTTGGAAAAGCATCTTTTTCTCTCCATTATAGTTTTCTGTCCGCACTATGTCAACATTTTCCACACAATAACTTTTCAAAAATAGTCGGATGAATTCAAACACACATAATTATAGTCTGTACACAAACCAGTCAGCTTATTTGTGGTAATTTGATTAAACATAACTATTTGGCAAAATGCACCATGTGAGCACAAAACAAAATAAAGAAAGTGATAGAATCCGATTTTGACTCGGGGTTGCACCAGGCCACAAGATTACGTAATGATGCAGAACCAAGTCAATATTGTACTTTAACTGTAAATTCCCCAACAGCTAACACACACTGAACCTGCGGTTTTGGGTTCCCCGGGTCAGTTGCCCACTTTGGTTTATTATTGCATAAATGCACGAAATGTAGAGCTTTATATAACATTAGTGATGCAGAATTCATAAAATGAATCAATTGTAAATTGTAAATTATTAACCGTATGTTTTTGTCTGCAGACGTCTCTATTGGACACTTGAAGGCGCCATTTCCATGCACATGGAAGGAGAGGCTCTGCGTTTTAATGAAGATCAGTAAGACCATTGACAAGTTGTGAACCCCACAATTAATAAGCTACGGTATCCTTAGTACGACTCTCCACAACCCCACATTTAGTCGGATCTCAGTGTTGTTATTTGATGAGATTAGTCGCCTACAGAGAAGAGGGTCGGGACACAAAGATTGCAGACTATAGTTGTAGTTTGGAAACAGCTAGCTCACTGGCTGCTTTTTAACAAGCGCCTCAAGCCTGCCTGCAGACAGAATTGCACACAGATACTGTCTTTATTAATGCGCCCAAAAAAAAACACACAACAAACACAACTCTCTGTCGCTCTGTAAATGAGCCTCGCACTCCGCTCACATGCCTTCTGGACGAGCCTTCGCGGGCAGAACGCCGCCGCGCGCAGGAAGAGCCTTGGTGACTCAAGGGGACCACACTGAGGACGGCAGTGAAACACGAGCTCCTGGCATCTTTTATCACCTTTGAAATTAACTTCTGAGATTCCCATGCATGCAGTCTACAGAGTTCGCGTCTTCCTCCCACTATACTCCACAGGCGGAGCAGGAGTATCACAAAGTTCAAGACTCCCTCCAGTAAAGTCCTCTTGACTTTTTGTGTATGTAGATTTATTTAATTTCTTTCCAGCTGTAGGCTACATCGGAGCATTCCCACCATGGCCGCTGCACCCTGAGGGGAAGATGGATTTGGATCTGGATTTTGGAGAGGTGGTGGATGAGAACGGGTCGAACTGTTTGTCCCGGAATGAGAGCGACCGCGGGATGAGCGCTTCTTCCACCGGGGTGTCCACTGCACTGGCCAGCGTGCTGATCTTCACCATCGTAGTAGACATCCTGGGCAATGTCCTGGTCATCCTGTCCGTGTACATGAACAAAAAGCTCAGGAATGCAGGTGAGAGATGAAGAAACGATTGATTTTGATTTTGGAATCGAGCCTAAGATATATGCTGATGGAATTAGCAGCTTTAATTGTGAAATGTGTCAACATCAGGGACTGGCAGACGAACAAAATACATTTAATTTCATCAAATTTAATGTGAAAGAATGTGTTTTGTTATTTTAGAAAATCTGTTTATCAACAGACTCTTTAATTTGCTCAAAAGGAGGAAAAAAACCTCTGTCTCAATGACCTCCAGTATGTGGGATGCCTTGCTTTTCCTCTCTTCATTCATAACTATAATTATGTAATATAAATTGTAGCGTGTGATCTCTGCTCTGTAGTTGACAATCAGGCTGCTATCTGAAGTGAGCCTCCAGTCTCAGTGGGCTGGAGTTTCCACAGCTTTGCCTGTCTGCCTTCATAATTCTTCATAAATGATAACACCTTCTTCCCTCCATCTGGCTTCATCCATGGCTCTCCATCCCAAATAAATCACATTCCTCCTTATATCTGTGATACCTGTGGTGTCCCATGAGCAACCATGGTGAGAAATGCGGTTGTACTACAGCGCCCTTTTGTGCAGGTTTTACGTTGAACACAACCTCGTATTTTGTTGAAGAAGATATTTATTATGGTCACTTATGCCATTTTTCTTTCTTGACAAATATGCCATCATCAATCAATTCCTGCCTTTACTTAGTTCCTGTCATTTCCAGTGTCTTGCATCCATTTGGAAATTTGTCTGTCAATTGATTCTTTAATTCTGTTTGCAGCCTGACCGATAAATCTTCGGCTGAAGGAAGGAGAGTAGGGTCTGCCTTTCCTTGCAATGTACTAAGTTACACAAAGTTAGAGGTCAATAGTCTTGTATCTATCAGGGTTTTATTTTCCTCATCAAAATCGACTAGCAAAAATAACTCCCTGACCAAGAACACCAGTTCTTAAGAAACACATAATACACTTGGATCTTTTTGGTTATTAGTGATTGAAAATATTCATATTTCAAATTAAATTCAAATTAAAAATGTTGTACATTAATATAGCAAATAGGCCTTGTAACTTTTCAAGGAAGAAATAACACATTTTTGAATTCACAAGCACCCTTGCTTAATTCAGTTCTCATATATTTTGCCGCTAAAGCCTTATTCGTTCACGAATGAGCAGTAGCTTTAGCTGACTAAGCAGATGTTAGTATGTATTCTAAACACTGACTGAGTCAATTCAGTCAATTTGGAACTCTTCTCCAATTGTCACAGATAAACATTTCAATGGATTTATCTAGCAACGATACCGATTCCAGTACGCTATATGCACTTGTGCTCGTAACCGTAAAACTACCACTCCTGCACCTGATACCACTGCATGCATTGCTGTGGAGCCATACAGTAACTTTCTCAATAAGTTTCCGCCGCATCAATCAGTTTAGCTGCGAGGTTTTGTCAGCCGTGTCTGCCTGTTGCAAAGACAATATTGACGATGGTTCCTAAAAAAAAATGTAATTATCAGTCATATCTTAGGTTGCAAATTGTGTGTGTTGCTGTCCATTTCTTCATCTAAAAAACAGATAACATCTTGATTGTCTTGATACTCTTGGCCTGTTGCTTGTTTTTGCACATAGTGGCAAAGAAAATGATCAAAGAAAAAAGTCACAGGAAGGTCTCAGCAATAAACATACAAGCCATTGGGTTTATAACACAAGAAGCAGTCGTGAGACACATAATGAATATTTTATTCTCTAGTCACAAGAATTAAAAGAAAGGACATTTCAATTAAATGTTCAAACCTCATGATTTTGTTTTTCCAAAAATAATTGAACAGAACACTGAGATGTATCTTCAGAGGCTGAAAACAGTTTGACGTTGTGCTGCTTTGCACATAAAGGTACGGGAGCTCAATCCCCATGTACCATTAAACCCATGCAGCTCTCTACAATTAAAAGTGAAGTCAAGAAAGCCTGCCGCTGAGCCAAAAGAATAAACCCAGTGATCACAACATAATGCTAATGAGCACATGCGAACCAGGCAGCGGGATTAGATCAGCAAGTGTTTGGAATAATGAGCTTTTAATTACAATTTCAAATACTTCAATCAATCTATCAATCTCCTCTCTGTTCTTAACAAGTTATTTATAGGTTTGCCTCACTTTCTTTATGAATGTTTAAACAGACTATGAAAGGAAAGCATGGACACAGCTGTAGAAGATATGTTCACCATAAAAATCTGTTTCTGTGATGGATGGCTGCTTTGTGAAGGGTTGAGTACAATAACATATCTGGGACTCATGAGTGATATACTGAGGTATAATGTATGATTTACAGTAGGTAAAGGCTACACTCAGACGTATATTTTTGTGGAATCCTGTGTGTCAGGTAGAGTGCTGAAAGCATCCCATCTCCTCTCTCCATTACACACCATTCAGACTGCTGGTTTGCTTCTACACACACTGCAGCAGGACCTTTCCACTCTGCTTCACTTCAACACACTCGCCGGGCCTCCATATATCCCTCCGCTATCCCCCCAAAAATGCACATGCATGTGTGCACATTGTTTTAAGATGCTGCTACATCATCTGAGTGATGGATTTTGTCCTTGATATCTTCATGTATTTGCAGAGAACTGGTACCATGTGTTCCATTTTCAAAGGTTTGCAGGTTCTTTCAAGTGTGCAAATGTAAAAGGATCTATCCAGTGAATCTTCAAAGGGTAGAGCATGGCATAGGACTGCCAATGGGGTGTTAACATTAGAGTTTCCCAATGGGGTTAAGCATACTAAAAATACACTCTGAAAATGTACTCATGAGAGAGAGAGAGAGAGAGAGAGAGAGAGAGAGAGAGAGAGATGATGGGGAGCAGATGGAGGTAATAACGAAAGAATGAGCTTGACTGTGTGTGTGTGTGCTTGTGTGCGTGTGTGTGTGTGTGTGTGTGTGTGTGTGCAGCTTGCACCTCCATCTCAGGAGCTGTGCGGTTTGTAAGGATTGGAGATTGAATTTTGTCAAATCATGGGCCGCATCCCCTCAGTCACTCTACAATCATGAATAAAACCTATAAAACGGTGTGTCCAGAGGGGGGTTCGTTCAGTCAGTGGAGTTAGTGAGTCAAACCAGAAGCCAGTTTAAATTGAAAGCACAGATCCAGGGGGAATATCACTTAGCACACTACATTAAACATGTCTTCTTTTCCCGACAACAACATAGTATATGACATTTAGTTTTCTAATGTGGTCAGCATGGAGGCAGGAATTTATCAGATTGGGACTACTTGACTAAACCATACATAGATAAGGTAAATGCACTGTTATGTTTAAATTACATCCAATCTCTCCTTTGAATTGGGGGCTGTTCTGTTTCGAATTTGCATAATTCACTATCATCCTCGTGTTTTGCGGAATTGCGCCGAACAAGTGAAGCGCTGATAGACCAGATGCTGCTTGTGTCCTGATGGTCTGCTTTCTCTCAGGGCCTTATTTTCTCAGCCACGAGGGATCTGATTGGTAGACGGCCTTTGACGATGACAATGATGTTTTTGGCTCATAGCGGGCCGCATCACCAAAAGGCAGCTTGTGTCATTTTAATGTTAGTCTTCTTCGAATACATTCTCTGGCCCCTTGAAGACGAGTTCATGAAGTAGTCACTATTAATTCATCAGCGCTAATGCCCTTGCTGAAAGGTTATTGTTGCTTATTTATGATAAGACTGACGGAGTCGAGTGTAATCAAATTTTGGATTATGCACTTGTTGTAGGCCATAATATGCCTCACATTGCTGATATTCAGCCGGATCCAAGTGATTCCATCCCTCCTACACATTGTTATGAATTCACCTGTCTTTCAAAGGTGTATAAATATATCCCGGTGAATCAAAGCGCAGTATATCACGTTTCCTGTATGAGCAGTGAGAGTAATGGGATACAGACGGTGGGTTTGACATTGGAACTTAAGCCTTTGAGATACAGTTGTGCACACAGCCATGCAACTCACCAGATTGAACAATGACTCGCCTTTTGTTTCGCCTTTTGCTTTGATTATCTCTTGCACATACATCTTCATTAATTGTGCTCCCGCATCACGCCCTTTTTTATTACTACTTCTACTTTTATTATTATTATTATTCAGAACTATTCAGCTAAAATAACGCAATGTGCCATAAATATGTTGTATACCGAGCCTGTATTAATATGCAGCTCTATATGCCGGGTGGGAGGTTGTTTCCGTCTGATATATTTTGGTGTGTGCTGCATGCTTCTGGTGACATACATATCTTGTTCCATTCACGCTGAGCTGAAAAGTTCCCTGATGTATTGTTGTGATGTATTTTTCATATGCCACAAAATCTCGTATGTGACAGACACTCACTCGGGGAATTCACAGGGTGGTCGCTCAACTCTCGGGAAGGAGACCCTTTCAAGCAAGACTCAGTTGACTTGATGCAACTTTTCACACGACTGTTTTGTGAGAGTGTACTGTAAGATCAGATGATTACAGAGCCAACGGTGTCAGAAACGTTGATGGATGCAAGTCAGCTGTCTCTGACGGCCTGTAAGCAATCAGCATTCAGGTTAAGCTCTATTAAACCCACACTCGTTGATAATAATAGCTCCCAAAGATGTCAGCAGGCGAGACCGTTGTTGTTCAGCTGTTTTACACTGAAACAATAATGGTTGTCAGTGCTGTGAGTTTGGGTGTGATAAGCATCGGGCCGGCCAAGTTGTTTAATTAAACAGCGAGAGGCAGTGGTTCGGCCAATGTTTTAATAATAGATGCCAACAAAACAAAGACAGTCATCTGGCCGCTTCACAGCAATCCTCTCAGCGGTGTTTTAGCACTTACCTCATCCTCCTGATGATAACGGGGTGAGAGGGTTCAGCCAGAGAGAGCTATGAGGCTGTAGCAGGCCCTGTCCAGCCAGAGCACATGATAGCACTGAGACGCATGATGTCAGCGAGGATCCAAACCTTTGCACAATGACAAATGCACACAGCGAGCAGTGTGAGCGTCACAAACACAATCTGACAGATTTGTCCACTGAGCTGACTCGAGGATAAAGAGAAAATGCTTTTATTTTTTATCTCAGTGGGCCTGAGAGATGGCTCGTGCTGATATAATAATATAATATAATAATATGTCATGAGACCAACATCTGACTTTCTTGTAAAAATAAAACATATCAGAAAAGTCCCCCAGTCAGGAAGGTAGGAATAGAATGACATAATTAGGATGTTGTATGTTGTTTGTTATTCTCTTTGTTACCACATTCAATGAATCAAGTTCAGTCAAGTAAATTCTAATTGGACATTCTGTAGCGGCGCTCTCCCCGGGGTGCAGGGATTGTAACAAGCTTCGAACGCAGAGGACTGATGGCCAACACATGTTTTAAATCCACTTCCATCATATCTGCCAATCAACGCTGTTGTTTCAGCTGTTGTGGGAATGAGCAATAGTCTTCAGATTTCAACTTCAGAAGGTAGTTTATGGTATATCCGCCCTTGACTAATCTCAACGTCTGACAAAAATGTTGATAAAATGAGGCACGTTATATATAATCCTTTACAGATTATTTACAGAGAGCATGAATGTTTATATTCTTACCAGTGATGTAATGATGCACGAGAAACTGGCAGAGTTTGTCATGACAAACAGCATTTATCAACTTTTTGGACTGGTTTATTTTGATCTGCTTGATGCTACTCACTATATGGAGATTGCATAAATAAATATGTATAAGTATATAAAAGAGTTCCATCAGTAAAAAACTGGGTTAACTGTATTTAATGGCAGAAAAAGCTGGTTTTATTTGGGCAAAATCTCCACTTCATCACAAATCTTGACTCACACACACCCTGTGTGTCCCTCTATTGCACAATGTCAACTCAAAATTTACGGGAAGCTGATGCATCTTTTGCAAAACACTACTTAAATTGCATTGTGGCTCCACTGTACTGCATGTTCTTGTTATCTATCATTTTATCTTACGCATTACAATTTGATTTATTGTTTTATCCCCAGCACCCCCACCCCCACCCAGACCCACACCCAGAGCAGCTGCACTGTAACAACATTAGACGTCATTTTCTATGATTCATGTCTTCCAAGGACATCCAGTGTCACACAACCATCAGCGTTGGCCTCAGGAGAACGGGAACTTGTTTGGATGTAATCTGACGCTAAAATCATTCATGTCCTGGTTTTTATGTGCTCAACTTAACAGCCTGATTGATGCATTTTATTGGAATCGACCTGCCAAATAGAACTCTGTCAATACAACAAATCTGTTCTGTGACACAATATATTTGTGTGTTGGGAAACACATTCATAGTTTAGAAACCAGAGTATATTCTACAGCATGCTAGCGGCTCTAGCTTGCCCCCAATGATAATGTCAACATGTTGCATGCTGATGTTAAGCAGGTTTGATAAATACCACCTTCACCATCTTAGTTTAGCGTGTTAGCATGCTAACATTTGCTAATTAGCACAAAACACAAAGTACAGCTGAGGCTGATGGTAATGTTGTTAGTTTTGCAGGTATTTGGTCCTAAACCAAAGTATTGGAGATATTAAATTGATGACCTGATGGTATTAGATGAAAAGTGAACTGATCACCAGAATTATTACAATTCATCCTGAGGGGGACATGAATGTCAGTGCAATTAATTATGGTCATCCACCCAAGATATAGTTAACTAAAAACCATAAACGTGAATCTCATAGTGGCGCTAAAGAAAAAGCTGATCACCAAACTCAGTGGGATTCAACCTCTGGGCACCGTGCATATCTGTACCAAATTAAGGCTATTTCAGTTTGGACCAAAGTGGTAGACTGACCGACCCGCAGACCACCATTGCCATCCATAGAAGTAGAATAAATAAAAATGCTGTTCGTTTTAAAAACAATTACTGTGAGAACAAATGTACCTGGATCCATATCCGTGCAGTGGAGAGGACATGGTAAATGCCTCATCAAAATGAGCCACCGAGGGCACAATGAAACTGCTCTTTTATGGTGGTAAACACAGTCGAACCTCCAGTAACCCACTTTATTCTAACCCGGTGCAGAAAGTGAAAAGGGACTGCTGTATGCTTAAATCATTCACCAGTTTGGGTCATGTTTTGTTCTGTTATCTAAACCTCTTCTGTTTCTCCAGGCAACATCTTCGTGGTGAGTTTGTCCATAGCAGACCTGGTGGTGGCCTTGTACCCCTACCCTCTGGTCCTGACAGCCATCTTCCATGATGACTGGACCATGGGTGACCTGCACTGCCAGGCAAGCGGCTTCATCATGGGCCTGAGCGTCATCGGCTCCATCTTCAACATTACGGCCATCGCCATTAACCGGTACTGCTACATCTGCCACAGCCTCCACTACGACCGGTTGTACAGTCTGAGGAACACCTGCTGCTACGTGGGCCTCACCTGGCTCTTGACCGCACTCGCCACAGTGCCCAACTTCTTTGTTGGCTCGCTGCAGTACGACCCACGTATCTACTCCTGCACCTTCGCCCAGACGGTCAGCTCATACTACACCATCTCAGTGGTGGTCATTCACTTTCTGATCCCCCTGCTGGTGGTGTCCTACTGCTACATGAGGATATGGGTGCTGGTGATTCAAGTGAAACATCGAGTTAAACCGGAGCAAAGGACCAAACCCAGTGATGTGAGGAACTTCCTGACTATGTTTATGGTGTTTGTGTTGTTTGCAGTGTGCTGGGCTCCACTGAACCTCATAGGTCTGGCAGTAGCTATAAACCCAGTGAAAGTTGCACCCAACATACCTGAGTGGCTCTTTGTCATGAGCTACTTCATGGCGTACTTCAACAGCTGCCTCAACGCCGTCATATATGGCCTGCTAAACCAAAACTTCCGCAAAGAATACAAGACAATTCTTCTTGCTCTTTGCTTCCCACGTTTGCTCCTCGTGGAGACCTCCAGGTGTGCCACAGAGGGACTGAAGAGTAAGCCTACGCCAGCTTTTACAAACAATAATGTAGCAGAGAAAAATGTATAATCTTGAAGTTTTACTGGGAAACTTCGATTAAGTTTCTGCGGAGCCTCATTGTGGATGTGTGCCATATTTCATCCAGTGCCTTTCATAAGATTTGTGTGATTTTTCTAGTTGTAAAGATTTCATTTTCCTTTTCGAACATGACACACCATTCCCTCGTGTTAAGAGGAAAACATTTGATCACCACTACATTGTGCTCTCTTTGTGATCCTGCACTCTATTTAAAGACAGACCACCTGTTTAACAAGCAAGAAATTGTCTGTATTTCAGTCACTTCACACTGGATAGCTTGTTATTTGTTATCTTAAATGCAGCATTAATGGTGGAAGATTCTAACGGTTGGTTGTTTTCCTTCAAAGTACCCCTGTATCTGACACACTGTAGCTTCTGTGAAAGCTAAGGTGAAGTTCGCATTCCGTATTTCATCCTGAGTGCGTATGAATATCTCAGGCTCCTCCTCACTGGGAATGTAGCCTGTATTAATTCACCATGATGCTGGTTCACCCTCAGGCTTGTCTTCTGAGCGATGATGCCCTCATAAAAAAAAACAGTGTGAAGAAATGTCTGAAACGGACTTTGTGTGTTAATGGAAGAATATGTGCCTTGTTGCCTGTAAAGTTTTATTCTCTCTCAGTTTCAGTCATTTTTTTCTGGTAAACAAAACTGTCTTTTAACTGCCTCAACTATTGCATGGATCAATTTATCGGACTAAAATGATCAAAGCCCCAGGCGTCCCCTTTCAGACCCTGAAAGATTTAGAGTATATATTTTGAAGAGGGGATGAACAGATGATAAGTACAGCTAGCCTCCTTGTTTATGAAATGGCTGGGGGACATGATGCGCATCAGGAGCCAGAGATGTAATTACGTGTTAGTGCAAGTGCGCCTGAGCACATGTCACCCTAGCTGAGATGAGCTCTGACAGCCTCCCAGCATAACTTCAACCCAGCAAACAAACTGTGAGCAGTTCACCTCACAGGGAGGCTCCAAGATGCCAATGTGACGCATTCTTGATATGATGCATGGCTGGAATATTGAAGCGATTGCACATTCACCATGTCTAATTCAAAGGATTCATAAATATGTTCAGCACAACATTTACTTTCATATCAGTTTTGTGATTTTTTTTCCCTCCTGCTGTGCTTTGCTGCAGATAAGCGTGGACAGGCTGCCTGATGTCTGACTAAATCAAAACCCTCAGTGGACGATTATAGAATCTCAATCCTTGATGGATCAGGGGCTATCAAGTTGCAGAGCAGCAATGTAGCACAAAACTGTTCAATCCCGCTTGCAATCTTACAACACAGTACTCTGATGTGGAAGAAAGAAGCAGCCCACATGCCAGTGCAAGGTCAGCTACAGATGAGCGGCTAAAGGGGCTCGAGGGAAGATGACAGAGTCGGCTGTACCACACCGACGAGTCACAGAATAATGCCGGGGCCATCCTTCTTCCTCTTCCTCTCACCTTCCACTCTTCATTCTCTCCTTTTAATGCTTGTTTTATCTGTATTTATTTATCCTGTTATCTCCCAAGGAATTGTTTGACATTTTGGGAAATACGTTCTTTTGGTACTTGGCCGAGAGTAAGATGAGAGGATCGATACCCGTATTTGTCCACTAATTATGAAGCTACAGCCAGGAGACAGTGAGCTAAGTTTAGCGTAAAGACTGGAAGCAGAGGGACAGAAATCCCGGAAATAGTCTGACATATCGAGTGTAAATTATTACGCATTGAAGTGCAGAAAGGATTTTTTTTCATGCTACTCAAAATATCCATTTTGACATTATAAAAAAAAAGTTTGAACCACAAACTACAAGGCAGACTTTGTTTAGCAAATACATTTGATTTCCTACTAATTCTAGCAATGTTGGGTACCTTATGATTAAGATATATGTGTCTCTGTAAATGAATAGTCGTCATGTTTACACTCAACATATTGCTCAGTGGATACATCTAAAATACAAACCAGAGTCTAGGATGAATAGTTGAGATGACTAGTCTATCCACCCACACTGTCTGTCATTTTGCCTGTGATTTAATATGAAGGGCAATGGCTTGTGGAGACGGTTTTTTTTTTTTGGTATGTTCAGGGACAGAGCTATACGCTGTGACTGTATTCTGACAATTTCACATATGTGACACTGTCTCCCCAGTTTCTCTGTAACGTCAGCTCCATTTGCTTTGGTCGATACCCTGAGTCTCAGGTAAGTTTTCTACAGCCAAGCCACATATAAATCCTTACTGTCATTTAGACATGTGTCGGAATCACAAATGATATCATGTTGTCAGATGTCAGATACAAGACATGTCATTTTTTTGTTAACTAGAGATGTGCAGTGCTCCTTGCAGCATTCACATGATGGCAGAGATAATTTATTGTCCTTCTTAGAGGTATGTGAGATAAGGATTATTTCCACAATGCATGAAGAGTGAGGCATCGCATGGCCCAACGATAGCATGCCGTGATGGTTTTTTGTCTCGCTCGATGAAGCCAGACGCAGCTCCTCTTTGCACAGAGGAATTTCTACAGCTCTTGCACATCATTGCATTTTACAGAGTGGGGTCTCACAGTGAGCCTGCTGCCCCAATAGCAAGTCTCCTAATGGATTTGTGCATCGGGTTTAGCGCTGCCTGTGTTCTCATGCATATGATGCGTTCCTACATGTCCCAATGGGCTGTGGGTCACAATACTACCAGGAGGTTTTAGGTGGCGTGGGTCCAAGGAAGCCAATGACAGCAGGAAATGTGGTGATTATTGTATCAGATTTCTTTCATTTATTTTTAGTCTGAATAGTATACAGCACTGGGTATTATAGATTATGGATATACTCTGCAAAATGTTCCTTGTTTGTTGACAGTGACCTCTAATTTGCCATGATACCAGCGGGAGAATAATTACTGAGACCTTATAAGTAAAAGTATGAACAAAAAAGATACTTAATTACGAGTAAGTAAGTAAGAGTCCTGCTTTCGAAAAAGACAATATTATCAGCTATATACAGTGCCAAAAACAAAAGTACTCCATCCACTGAAAAATGTCACCTGAATAATATATATTTTTGATTAAATATTACATTATTTAGTTTGGCTCTGTCCAAAAGAGACAGCGTCCACCAGTACCTCTAAAGCGTATTTACATCTTGTATCTTGTTTGTTTAATCCAACAAACAGAAGTGTGAAAATGAGAAATTGACATTTTACAGAGGATTAAAGTTGCAACTGGTCTTGACTGAGAAATAGTCTGGATAAGCCTCCATAAAGCAGAACAACAAACAAGATTCAATGTGTTCATTGTTGAGTTGAAGAGGTGCTGGTTGTCAGATTTTGTGACGTTTGCAGAAACCAGGCTAGCTGTTTCCCCCCTGTCTTTTTGCTAAGCTAGGTTAGCCATGTTTAGCATACAGCTAAGTTAGCCATACATACAAGAGATTGGTAACAATCTTCTTATCTAGTTCTCAGCAATAAAGTGAATACGCATGTTTCTCAAAATGTTGAACTTTTCACTTGACAGTGTCTTTTTCGTAGCTCATCAAACATTTCTTACTATATCTGAAAAGCACGTAGTAACTCTAACTATTAAATATATGCAATAGACAAATGGTACATTTTGCAATATTTGCCTCTGGAATTTAGTCAAGTTGAAGTATAAAGTGCATAAAAAGTACAATAAAGTACAGTACTTAAAAGAATACATGATTACTTGGTAATAACAATCCTCTCACTTTTAGCAGCAGTTGTAAAAGTGAAGGACAAAGCTAAGAACAGCACAGCACTATTTTTAAAGTGTTTTCTATTTGTACTCTCATTTGGAATGGAAACTTCATTTACATTTTAGTTACAACACTTTGACACTGTCGCTTGGTCAAAACAACAGGTGTGGTGTGCAGTGTGGGGGGGCCTCATGTTTAACATAGAGCACTGGTGACACATGGAATGAAACAGAGAGAGCCATGGGAAATACTTCTGGAAGGTCAGAGGTCAATCTCCTTGAGGAAGGATCATTTAGTACCGTATTGAAATTAAAACAAAAGACCACTTGGCCAGATATAAACATTGTTATTCCACTGAGAATGAAACGTTTTCCAAGCTTTAATTTTAGATGCAGTTTAATTAAATGTCATAATCTTACCATAACGGGATGAACATGTCTTCTGTGGTTTATGCTTTATTCCCAAAGCGCACAGCAATACACCATTTAATTACTTTTTGGGTTTTGCATTTGTTTCCAGAGAAAACAAAAGTCCAGTGTAACTTTGATCTGGAATAATTAGGGATGACCTGTTTATGAAAAAAGGTCACTGTTTATTTTTAGAATTATTGCCAGCTTTAATGATTATTTATCAATTATTAAATTAAGATATGTGTCTGTACAATCACAAAACATACATTATAATGTGCCTTGGCTTCTGTAAAAAAAAGGTCTTTGTTTTGTGAAGTACATGTTGTATATATATTAACATCTAATTAAATTAATTTAGAATTCCCTGATCTAAATATATTGTATTTTGAAGTTTTAGGTTCCTAAGAATATTATCAGCAGGCCTACTACTCTATATAAACCGTGCCTTTATTGTGATATTGATATGAACAGAGGTCTTAACATCTGTGCTCGTGATGTCTGCATACAGTACTGATTAACAAAAAGACCTGTGTTTGGTTTTAAGTGTTAAAAGTCAACTCAACTCTCGTGCTCACTGTCTAACGAAACAGAAAAAAAGGCAGAATTTGTATTTATAAAATTGCACTCAGTGGTTCATCCAGCAACAGATTAGAGAATACTATTCAATGAGGCATTGTTTATGTCATCGTGTGCTCTTTGTTGGGTAACAAATTGGGAGTGAAATTGCCACAGAAAGTGACATGATCATTTTGAACACACATCAGTAGTGAGAGTCTTTTCAAATGAAATGTGTTTTGGGGAACCTGCTGAGCGAGGGACCGGTGAGAACAAAGCCAACTGGAGCAGAAAGTGCCACTCCTTGACACCACGGCAGCGAGACTTCAAACAGAAACACAGACAGAGCACGACACTAAATGTATACAGTCGGCACGAAATGGACTAAATGGTTCTCTGTTACATCTGCGATTAAACAAGAAGTGGTCTACGGTGTTGAATTATTCAGGAATGTAGGAGCACATTACATGACACAAGGCATCCATAAATGATTGTTGAATGACGAACTTGCAAGTTTACATCCATCCTTTCTTTGCTGTTATTTTTGGAGCCTGGTTATGGGAATGGGAACCAATTAAACAGTGAATAATATGTTTTGACTGTTAAAAAAGCTAAATAAGATGTGTTTGACTGCAAAGACAATGGTTATGAATGTACAGCTGCTGACTTCGTTTCTAAAAGCTGTAGACTTCATTTTCACTCAAAAACTGTGAAAAAGAATATCAAAGTTTGACTGAATTGGGATGTGATGCTGATTTGATCATTTGCTAGTACATTAGATAGATAGATAGATAGATAGATAGATAGATAGATAGATAGATAGATAGATAGATAGATAGATACTTTATTAATCCTGTAAGGGGAAATTTGTTCAGCAGCATTATGATACAGGAAGCAATCAAACAGAGTAAAAAATAAAACAGAAAGTAAAAATACATTTATAAGAGCCTTAAACATTTGTTGGGCTTTTTGAAATGCAAGAAATACATTCATGCTTGATCTTGTAAATGTAGTTCCCCGGGTTGTAATAGGCTACAGTTTCATAAGAATCTAATCTGTTTAATCTATTAAAAATTACTTTAGTAAATGTTAAGTACATTTACTCTTGTATGTCTACTGTACTTAAGTAGGATGTAATATTGTATTAAGTGTTGTACGCTATTCTAGTTACTTTACAGATAAAACAAAAGTTATTAAAATCTTAAAAATCTGATTGTTTTTGTTATTATAAATGTGTGCAGGATTAATAATAATCCAACATAGCTATATGGGCAACAACAATATAACTTTTCAAGGGGAAATTCTGATAATAATGTGTAGCCTACATCTGTACTTTTGGTTGCTTCTACCTGGGTGACATTTTGAATGCTGGACCCTTACTTGTAATGGAGTATTTTTTTACTTTATTGAGGCTTATTGCTACTCCTCGGCCTAGAAGTAAAGGATCCGAACACTTTATCACTGAATATCACATTTCAAATTGCAGCCCTCACAGGAAACTACAAAAACAGAGGAAGTACATATTGCTTGAAAGTTGATCGTTAGTTCCATATTTTGAAGAAATACATTTTATCCCAAAATATCCTTTATTCCTGCAGGACATGAACCAGGCTAAATCTATGGGTTCAACTATTGCCACTGAAGTCTGGTCGCGCGAGACAAACTGACGTCAAACGTGGTCATGTGACAATCCCGTGATCCTATGCGGAAGAAGGGATTTGAGCTAGTGTGACAACACAACACAGACGGGGAAAACGCTAACATTAACCGATTATATTTCCCGTTTTTCATCTTAACCTCGTCTCCGATCAGCCCAGCAATGGACGGATCTGTCGGAGCAGCTTCGGACACCGGACCGCCGGCTTATTCCCGGGGGTGAGAAAACCGTAATCTACTCTAAATCAACAGCTAGCTAACCTAGCTTCCTAGCTTAGCTTCCGCGGAGTGACGCCTGTTTTAAAAACCACCCGTCCCCCCTGTGCCGCTTGATGTTGAGCATGTGCCCACGTTTACAAAATACTTGTATTCCATGTGGTGTAATCCTTGAACACGTGCATTAATCACCACCAAGGGACATGCCCACATCAGTGTTTAGCATGTAACCCGTAGCTTCTTCACAGTACTGTCACTATCTGGGTTTTCTCTGCGCTGACTGACAGATCTTGTACTCCTGCAGAAATGAAAGCTCCCTGGTTTCAGCCCTCAAGACACTGTTGTTCTTCACGTTCCTGATGGTGACGCTGCCCATTGGACTCTACTTTGCTACAAAGGCGTACCTCTTTGAGGGTAAGGTCTGCAACACTGGTTTGTTTGTGTCAGCAGAGCAAAGTCAGCTCTCGAACCTTTATTTTGTTCCACTAGTTCAGATGGAAGGATATGCCCTCTTCACTTTGTTCCAGCTCTTATTTTCGTTCCAGGTAATTCCCACAGTCTGACTGATGTGGATTCTCTTTTTTTTTTTTTAGTTAGGACAATACAGATATTGATATTGGAGTTTAAAAGCCAATTACAATATTTCCGCTATATATAAACATAACTATGGGAATTTAAAAACAGTGCTTTGTGGTGGAAAAACTATAATGGCATTACTGTCTGTAAATTATCACAAAAAATTCTCTGTTCTCGTTTCCTGTCATCGTACACGGCATAAAATGCCCTAAAATACGAATATCAGCCAATAGTAAAGCCAATTTATTGGCTCCAATAGCAACAGTAAGGCAAAGAGATGGTTTGCATGATTCGTCCCTGCATTGTTAATGAAACTGTCATCAGAACAATAACAAATCAAGACAATCATACGCAGAACTTCATCGTCTGAATAGTGGCTTTCATTTCATTGATAACTTTATTTAGTTGTTCTAATTTATGTGATGTGGACAAAAAGTAATTATAGATAGTGTTATTGATGTATAAAGTGACAGTGAAGATACTAGACATGTATGAGAATACTTGCACCACCTCGACACAGAATACCCGACAAAGCAACGGACATCAATCCAGGTAGCTGCAAGTAACTGTATCTAAAGAAAACATCTGAGGCAAATCAAGAGAGAAGGGCTCATTTATAAGTGCAATTCGGAACACACACACACACACACGTGCATCAAGAGAAGTGTGAAGTGGGCACTGGTGCAGCGTTGTTTTTCAAACACGGGGGCACCAAGAGGAGCGGTTTACCCCCGAGTCCACCAGTGTGTTGGGTTACAGTACATTTTCCTGACATTTGATTGAGAAACCATATAAATATATAATATAATCTAACCAGACGAGAGAGTCTATTTGTGGCAAATTACAAAATGTTTAGGGATCATAGGTAGGTATTCTATTTACTGACATGCCTAAATCCATAAATCCAAGTCTGACAGCGTACTCAATGGTTTATAATATTGACCTTATAAAACTGGAGATATTAAAGGTTGAGGTAGCACAGCATAAACGATATAGAAAACTCTCTAACAGTAAACAGCTTTTACTCTTATTTTTCTAATGGCCATAAAATCAAGTTTTAAATTGGAGTTAATTTTCACATGTAAGACGATGTAGACACGTTTGTCACTGTACTGCAGCTGCTCTTCATCCCTGTTAACTCTTCTCCCACTCCTTTTCCCAGGTTCCATGAAGATGTCGAGCTCTGACAGCTACTTCTATGCGGCCATCGTTGCAGTGCTCGCTGTGCATGTGGTTTTGGCTTTGTTTGTTTATGTGGCCTGGAACGAAGGCACACCTAAAGGGAAGGGCAAAGACGATTAAGGCATGTGCTTATCAGCTCATAAGACTGGAGGAGATGGGCAGATAGAGGCATGGATCCGCAGCCCCCCGCCCCCCCCCCCCCCCCCCCCCCCCCCCCCCTCTCTGCTCCAGCACTAAACAAAGCGCCATCTCTACCAACCAGACAGTTAGGGGATCTGGTTTTGGATGATGCGTTTTCACACACGCACACGCACTGTATGTCCTTGTCATGTTCATGTATAAAGAATCTGATTCCAAAATGCTCTACATCCATTCTGTGAGAATTTGCAGTGCTGAATTCATCATTCAGTCCTCAGACTTCAGTTCTTATCAGCATACATTTAAAGAGGACTCTTCGTAATGTGCTTAACTTTCACGCTGTGTTGTGGAGCAAAGATTGCACGACGTCCTGTCCTTAATTTTCAGTGTGTGTAATGTAGCTCAGTGAAATTTTTGTAACTTTGAATCCGAAAATTCTTGCGAGATCAATTTGTATTGAAAGGAATGGTTTGTACTCGGAGATGTTTGGAGATTTGAGGATGTTCTCAGTGATGCAGATGAAAAGGTTCTCATGCTCAAATAAACTTGAAAATGTAACTTTTTAGTTTCACAGTTTACATATTTTCGAAAGCCTTTTTTTTTTTTTGTTAATTCACTAAAACACAATGCAGATTTTTAATGTTTTGACGTGTCAAGTTGTGCATCGAAATGTTTAAACGTTTACTATTGATATTCCAATTTAGGAATACGTTACATTAATGATACAAACATGCCATGATGTGGTGGAATTCGGGTTTCTTATATGCTATTTCTTTTAAAGTTTATAATACAAGCAGTCTCAAGGCCGTAGTTTATGGGGGGTACACAGGGGATGTGAACCCCACACTTTTTCAGAAAAGCAGTATGTCATACCTTCATTCAAACCTGTAGGAAGAGCCAGCCAGCAGCTCAGCAGAAATGATAAGTAAACAAGAATGCGAGCAATGTCTTAAGACGATCTATATTAAGTCAACTAACATAATGAAAATTCATAGGGAGAGCATTTCGGGATATAAAAAAAATGTAAAAGTCTTCAAGTTTGCAAGCCATAGAAGATGGCATTGTGGAATTGCTGTTATCTTCTACATGTTATTTCAAACAAGCGCAGTATGTCCACCACTGTGCCTCTTAACTCAACACATTCATGAGTTGAATGTTTGTTTTTTTGGAAATAATTAATTGTGTCTGCAACTCAGCAGGAAAAGCTGCCCAATGAACCTGCTTCATAAAGACATATGGAGCATGTGATGTAAAAGGAGCGAGGCTGGAGGAAACAAAGAACAGAAATCAGATGTTTCTGTTCTTTTCCCTCTGATCCCTGTGAGTCTCTTTTCAACATGCTCTCTAGTGTAGCTCACATACTGTGTTTTCTGGTATGTTGTTGGAGCTGTGCAGTCAGCACTGAGTTTAACTAGGCTGGTGTTGGTGATGAGGTGACAGGCCTGCAAGCAATCAGACTGATTCAGTCAGCAAACATCAGAGGCCTCATTTGCCTTTTGGCTGATATTTATTAAAGCTGTGTTGCTGCAAGGGCAGGCTTTGCTTCTGGCTCTTTGTCAGTTGTCACACATTAGCAGGTTGGGTGATAGCGTGAGTGTGATGAAGAAAAAACAGGCCAGAGAGTGCTGAACTTACTTGAATCAGGCAATAAATAAACACTACAACATTTTGATGATTCTATTCTCCGTGCCCTTCTTATCCTAAAATGCATTCCACATTCAGTATAGACTCTTTGAATGAATATATCCTAATTGAAAATAAATAGACAGATATACAGTAATGCATCATAATATATGTTCACTTGTATGCACTCAGTTATTTATGCATTACAAAAAACTGAAGTGTCTCTGTTTCGTGGATACCCTTTGCCCAGCAGATGGCGTACACAGCAGATACAACCCTCAGATGAGCAGCATGTCAGTGTTTGAGTAAAAGTAAAGAGAGAGGGCAGTAGAGGACTGTGCTTCAACTAGTGGAAGATAATGCAAAGCATTGCACCAGAGGGAACAAAACCGCATAAAGTTATAGAATTCTCATGTGGGCACATGCATTTATTACATTACACATAACCAAGGAAGCGCTTCATTGTAATAATCTGTGCTGTTATTTGCCATGTAACTCTGCCCGGGTGCTTTTGAGAGGATAAGTAATGGCTTCAGCACAAAAGAAACAACTTCATCAAACGCTAAATATTTTGTACAGCTTGTATTTTAAAAGTATCGACATTTAGAAGTTAAAAGTGTCCTCAGTCTGGACTCTCTTGATTAGGTTACAAATAGTTACACTGCGTATTTAAATATATCTAATTAAGCCCCATATACTATAGAATCATCATCATAACTGACATTGAGAGTTTTAATTCTTTTTTGTTTGTGTAGGTGCTTTGCTGTATTCAATTTCGCATTGTATATTGTGTTGTTTTTTATTATGCCATAATCTATTTTGCGCATTCAAGTTTTTAATTTAACTGAAAGGTAATTGGAAGGCTATCTAATTAGCTCCTTATCTCTTAGGGTTATGTGGGTATACTTTTTGTTTCCTGAAGTGAGAGAGTAGTCCTAATAGTCTATATTGTTAATTCTATAATGCGATTTGGTGGTTTTGTGAAAATGATTAATTCATTAAGATATTATGGTTTAAATTAAGGCCCATGTCTTAAATTATTTTATTAATGACACAATTCATTTAACCAGTTCAAAAGTGTTCACTAACTTTACTGTATATAGTGGGGAGAGTGTTGCAATTGTTCTCTAAGTCACGGGGAGGATACAAAGAAAACACTGATAGCATATATTGAAAACAGAATGTTCAGCCCCTCCCTCCACCAAACTCCTGTGAGATCACTATTCTTGTAAAGTCGAAAATGTGTCAGAGCTGAGGATGCTGCTATTAATTTCACTTGCAGAGCTATGTAATAAGAAAGCCACCATTGATCAACATCATGGCAGCTTTTCTACAAAGAAAACGACATCATGTCATCTAATGCTAACATATCACATACTTTCATTCCGTGATTCAGTCAAAATAGAAACCTTTATATTACAAAGCAACTACAATTTCAAATGCTGGCCTTACACGAAAAGGATTGTATTTCAAAGTGCTGGATATGCAGCTCTACTCATAACTCACATCAATTCATCTGTCAGCATTTCATAATCCCTTTTCTCAGAGATGATCACTTTATTACATCTTGAGATGATGAATGCTTTAAAATAACTCTGGGTAATCGTGTTTTATTCTCATTTGTTATGTGACATTTCTTTAGAATTAGAGGTTCTGGTTTACTTCCTGATTTATGGGGCCATACATTTCAAATAACACTCCCGACAGTTTTGTCTGGGAGATCTGACATACGTTGTTTCATGGCCCAGCAACACACTAAAGTACGGAATCGTATGCACAGACTACACTCACACATATCTCAACACATCGTTAAACTTCAGCTAAAAGAGTCATTTATCTTTTTAGCTTTAATACAAGTTAAATAAAAAGTATATTTGTTCTTCCCTTGGCACATTAAGCATTCACACAAAATGATGAATGTAGTCAAAAGGTATGAGACAGCTTCCTCGTCATGAACATGCTATGTCATTCATTTCAAGGTTTCCATACCAGGGGTGCCCGTGTGCTGCGTTTTCCCGGCACACGTGTGTGTAAAATTAAGATGTGCGTGTGTGGGGATATGCAGACAGCAAAGACTTAACACGACATGTTTGTTCCTGCTCGAGCACGTCCGTTTTGAACAGGGTGACATGTTTGTGGGTGGATACTGATGACTCAAAGTACACCCGGGCGATTCTAATTTCAGAAATTCAGTGTTTCAAAAATAAAAAAAGATTCAGATGCAGAGCTATAATATACATGTTGTAGCTACTGAACCTAAATATTACCTATGTCATTGTTTCTACTCCTGAGGTGATCTTGTTTTTGAGAAATATGAATAACAGTGGCAACATGAGTCCCAGTGAGATGATCCGCCATTTTCCTGATGAAGTTATTATAAACACACTGTTTACTTTGCAAATTTAAGACAGATTTATTTCAGGCAGTTTTACAAATATGGTTGTCACCAAGTGCTTGACAGAAAAACAAACGGCACAAGCACAGATACAAACAAGGATGAACACAATGTGCTTAGAATTATGTACTTGCATGGCTGTCGCAATAAAAAGAGGCAGAACTCCGGAGAGCAGTGCAATGTGTTTTGAGACGTCTCCTGGAATTAGGTACACCAGATCCTAGTGTCCAATGTGTTGTCAGGTATTGCACAACTTTCCACTTCAAGTCTAAGCAAGTGAACTATGCTCAAAACAGTTAAGGGAAGTTAAATTTAACTATCTGATTCCCTCAAATGAGGTCAAGCCAGAGCTGAAGAAGTTTCTGTCCTGGATTCTATTTCCAAAGTTCGGACAACTTTATACGCAGAAGTGCAGGTTCATTCACATTCATATAAAACCTGAGCAGACTGTATCTTTCTGTTGAATTTGTTTTTATTTTCTGTGACAATAGTGAATAGTGGAGACACTGACTGAGAAATATGGTGTTGTCACAAAATGTGTACCGCATATCATTAATGCTACTGTCTAATGTGAAATCCAATTAAGCTTTTCAAAAGAACAGCCAGCTACGGGACACTTCTCAGTGGAGCAGAACCTCCTTCAAGAGGTCTGAGCTCATTCGATATTTGATTAGACCTACAGTCTTACTGTAGACCTGCAGCTTCTCTGTTGAATGTCACTCCCCTCTGAGTTGGAATGAGTCAAACGTGTGCCATCTTAAAGAGGGGAGTCAGTTCCGCATGTACGAATGCTTCCAAACAACATATGATCCCCTCACAGCATTTTAAGACACCCTCACCGAAACATAAACCCCCTTATATCTGCAGATCATCTATTCTAGTCTTGTTGTTGCTGTGTTTGGCACTGCGGCCGGGCCTGGCCTGCGTAGGTGAACCAGGGGCTGATCCCGCTCCTTTCTTTCCTTTTAGGTCACATTCCTCTGGCTTGCTGCTGCTCCTTTCCACCGCCAAGTTGTCCTTATTCTGTTTGTAGGCCGCCTTGGTGTGGTAGGGGTGGCAGGACGAGTCTGTGCCTTCAGACAGAGGGGAGAGGTTGTAGCTCGGTACAGGCGGGTATGCTGGCTGGACTTGGTGGAAGTAGTCTTCGTAACACGGCGCATATGGCACCGCAGCCTCTTTGGGCTCCTTGGGGAGACTCACAGGGGACCGATTACGTCTCCTGAAGGTGATGCCCTGGCGACACTTGGTGAAGCCCAGGTGGTAGATCTCTACAAGGTTGAGGAGCAGAGACACGCTAGCAACTCCCAGCATGAAGATGATGAAGATGGTTTTCTCCGTGGGACGTGATATGTAGCAGTTTACCACATTGGGGCAGGGCAGCCTGTCACATGTGTACATGGGCTTCAGCTGAAAGCCGTACAGGAGATACTGAGCCACGATGAAACCCACCTCAAACAGGGTTTTAAAGACCACATTAAACACATATGTGCGCAAGAGCTCCCCCTGCAGGCGCACTCGACCCTTCTGGTTCCTCACCAGAGGCTTCTTGTGCTTAGCATCCACAACAAGGGCCTGCTTGTCTGAATGGTTTGCGAGTTCCCTCTGCTCGTCCCTCTCTTTGTGCTTCTCCTCCATCCGCACCAGGTGGACGATGTGTCCCAGGTAGATCAACGTAGGCGTGGACACAAAGATGATCTGCAGCACCCAAAAGCGGACGTGGGAGATGGGGAAAGTGATGTCGTAGCACACGTTCTCACAACCCGGCTGCTTGGTGTCGCAGGTGAAGCCCGAGAGCTCGTCGCTCCACACCTTCTCTGTGGCGGCACTCAGGATCAGGATGCGGAAGATGAACAGGACGGTGAGCCACACCTTCCCCACCACAGTGGAGTGCTCCTGGGCTTTTTCTAGCAGCTTTCCCAGCAGGTTCCAGTCCCCCATGGCTGTGTGAGCTCAGATCTGTGACTTGAGATACATAAAAAAAAAGGCCAAAAATAGTTCAGCAGAGCTCAGACTAAACGATTCTCTAAGGAGCCGAGCTGCTAACCGAGTGTACGACTGGGGGACTCTGCTGCTGAGCAGGTAGTATTTTTTTCCCACGACACAGACAGGATTATATTTACTTTAGGAGGGTATATATTTGGCAAGTGCGGACAGGGGGGAAGGCACCTTCCAGTCACGATTCTGTGGCTCCTGGCCTGCATGGCTCGGGCCACAGCAACATGATCCACACACAAGGTGAAATGAAACACCAGGCAGTGGTGGGGGAAGTGCGAACTAGAAACAATTGAGTCATATCGGTACCATCAGCTACTGTAACTCATCATTTTATATATATATATATATATATATACTTCTGATGGCTGTACTGTACACTAGCAGGGCAGCACATTCAGCACACATAGTATGCTACCGCGAAGGATAATGTATTCTGTTTACTGGTGAAATGATGTTTAGGGAGCCACCACTAAGAAATCTAGCTTGTGTTTTAACTCCTGTAGACTGGGTTGCAATTTTAAACAAACGATATCAAACCGCTCAGACATTGTAATCCTCAATGACAAAAGATAATAATATGATGAACATCAGAAAATAACAAATAAATAATGCCGAAAACACCTCAATCCACAAAGGTTTTACTTCACAGAGAAGTCACATTTACAGAATAAACCCACCTTGTCAGCTTATGCATCCCATGCAGTGAAGCCCTACGCGTCTTCGAGGGTCCATGAGGCCGCCTGCTTCGCCGACAGGCCTCAGTGCAAAGCTGATCTTTGGGCCCCCAGCAATGCCCTTGAATGGACAGGAAAAGTGGACTTCTGCCGGCCACAACCTCTGTTCCACACCGACAAACCCACCGACTCAGTCTTCCGTTTCCAAATACAGCGAAGGCAGGAATCAGGATCCAGGCCTCGGGGTCTCCCACTGACCACAACACACACATAACCTGCTGGACCCACTCTGAACCATGTCCGGCCTGCCCTCCCTCAAACACCCCGCTCCCCTCTGTGGTTAAATTTGGCACAGGGTACAGTCTCTAATGTAAACTGTTAAAGCACCTCTACTCGCTTGTTACAGTGAGTGACAGGGCAGCTGGCCAATGACGGTGTCCGCTAAGTCTGTCTGGCCACAAGTGGTCTAAATATAGCACGAGGGTCTCTCCTATCATGGGGGGCATGATTTGGAGATGAGGAGCCATTTGCATCCTCAAGTTACAAGGAAGAGACAGGAGGGAAACAAGTTCTGTTTTAAGCTAAGTAACTTCAAATAATGTCAAATTATCAAGCACTTTATTTCAGTATATTACATAATATACACAGTTTTAACCCTAGTTATACATTATCTGGGTTGTTTACCATGGGTGTAAATTCATATATGTAGATTTAGGCATAAATATTGACATCAGGGTTTTTGAATGCACTACAATGTGTATAACTGTATAATAGAGCAGTTGTATAAACAGATACCAGCGTATGGGACACACAGAGAGATACTGAATAATATTATACAGAGTAATATTGAGGAAAGAACGTGTGACTGTCTCTGTTAAACAGTAGGTCAACCGCAAACATTTTTCATAAACAAAAAAAGATCACCTCAAACAGAAGCTATAATGAAGTAGGCAGTACTTACAATTGAATACAAAGATATACAAAGACATAAGTACAGTACTGAGATTCTGCATGGTTTACTGAAATAAACCGTTGCTCTGTCCACCATTCTGACTACTGTTGAGATAACATAACAGGTCAGTAGTAAAGATATGTTTGTGTAAAATTTGTGTTTTCAAATTAATTTAGTTTTTCATCCTTTGCAGAATGATATTTAATGACAGCTGTCCACATCTGGACAGTATTTTATATTGTAATATTTCCATAGCAAATTTAGTTTTTGCCTCAGCTGCTGACTTGTAGGTAAATTGTATTTGGTTTAAAGTCACATTGTATTCTTTGGGGATTTTTTTTAGTCATTGGAACTTGGTTTTAATTTTAGTCAAATTTTAGTTCATGTTTTAGTCGTAATTTTCTCAGACAGTTTCATAATATTGTAACGGAATTTGCAGAAGGATATTTCTCCTGGCTGCTGTGTTACAGACTCACCGTCTATCACTATTGGTTATCTTTCACTGGTAATATTTATAACCTGACAAAACAGACTTCTTTATACATTACTGAGGTCTTCTGCTGAATTCAGAGTCCTGTTCCACTCAGCAGAGCTCCTATATCCCAGTTATAAAAGTGTTTATGCTGCATTGTTAGGGCAGAAGAGCTTTGTCATTATCTTACATATTATTTTATTTATGAATGTGTAGCAGATGTTGTCAGGGTGAGCTTTTCTTTGTGTGCGCCGCGGCAAGCCGGAGAGTAAACAGCTTTTTGACCACAGAGAAAATTTGGACTGAAGAATCATATTTCTTTCATGCTGTGAATGTTGGAAATGATTACCTCTTTCTTTCTTCAACACATTTAAACTTTTGGACTTTACAACGCTCTGGAGTTGTAAATGTTTGGATAAAACGAGTCTGTGAAAACCCTGCAGTCAACACTAGTTATGATATAATGAACAGATTTACAGAACACTGTACAGCTGTCTGCTTGTTACTGAAAATTAATGGCATTTACTCACATAACTGCCCTGTCCAGTTCCTTGCTTTGTGGAATTAGATATGGTACATATTAACATGTTTGATGTAAATAAAAGGTTTGCTTTCTATCCAGCATTTTAATCTCTACTGTAATCTTTGCACCTTTAAAAAGGACCACACTGGTGTTTTTGCACATTTTGGCTTAATCATCAGAAATCATGCCGCTACTACTACTACGTATTTCAGTTTGAATGTTTTTCGTGCCTACCGGACAGCAGCCCGTTTCCCTTTTTTGTGTCAAAGCTACATTATAGACGCGTGATAAAGCAACTGCAATGATGATTGAGGAAACTGAATGTGAAAAGTCTGGTGACGGTGAGAAAATGTCATCCAAGAATCAAGTTCTCTCCCCAAACAGACCACCTATTATGCCGAATACATTAAAAAATATCTTTTGGAAATCAATGTTTGCTTGATGAGCATGATTTACAAACATCACACAGTTGTATCTTGTAAATACAACTGTGTAGGATTATAACAAATCTATAGTTTGAACCGTATTATCAAGCAATAATGACAACTTTGACAAAAAATGATGCTCACACAGGCATGGCTTCTTCAGCTAAAGATACTTTGCATCTCTGCAAGTTGCTTCTCACACTGTAGTCAAATGAAAACCACTAAAATGAGCTTTGGCCGATTGTTGACACCAAAGTCAACATGGTCTAAAACATGCAACAACACCGGTGTGGTCCTTTACCTTACCGACAGGCTCCAAATAGTATAGACGAGTTCCAACAGCAACTAGCACTTGTGTCAGTAAAAGAAAAAACTAAGCGTCTGTCTGAATGATATGTAAATAGATGGTGTAAATGTGTACAGAATATGTGACACTCATGCAGAGCAACATGACCCATGGTCCAATTGCTGTTGATTAGTTGAAGAGGAGAGGCAGAGTTTCAGAAAGCGGAACACCTTTCCCCCTTCTCAGTTGGGCTCTTTTTGGTCACAGTGAGCTTAGACTTGAGAGAATGGTCTGCGATCAGCTGATTGATTTCATTTTGCCTATAAGTCGGCAATCTTTGACTTATCCAAGCTACTTTGGACTCTTCCTCGGGGCCTCCGAAGCACCGTTTACAGGCCCTGCCTATGAGGTACACCACCTCAGCCAGGTTGAGCAGCACACACACCCCGGACACCGCCAGCATGAACACGGTGAATATGGTCTTTTCTGTCGGTCTGGAGACAAAACAGTCCACTGTGTTGGGGCATGGGTACGAGTCACACTTTACCAAACGCACCATCTTAAAGCCAGGATAGATCAGATAGAAAATGTACAGAAAAGCCACCTCGAAGAGGATTCTGAAGATGATACTGATCATGTATGTCCACCACAGTGCTCCGGTGATCTGAAACTTCTGGTTCTTGATGTGCTCCAGCTCCTTGGGACTGCTGCGGCCCGTCCTCTTCAGGATCTTCTTGTCGATGTGGCGTCGGTGGGCCACATGCATGGCCACCAGCAGGGCGGGGGTGGAGACCAGGATGAGCTGGAGCGCCCACAGGCGGATGTGCGAGATGGGGAAGAACTGGTCGTAGCAGACGCTGTTGCAGCCGGGCTGCTGGGTGTTGCAGACGAAGCCGGACTTCTCATCTCCCCAAACGCTCTCGGCAGCGACCACCAGGACCAGGATACGGAAGATGAAGATGACGGAGAGCCAAACGCGTCCGATGCCGGTAGAGTGCCTGTTTACGCCGCTGATCACGGCATAAAAGCTCCCCCAGTTCATTTTCGACTCCAGGTCTGCAAAAAATAAAGGTTACATGGATGAAGGCTAAGCTAGATCTATAGCTTAAGGTCCACTCTTAAAACCAATTATAATGATATCAACATTTAAGTTAACTTTATCAGAATGTCTCTCAGGAAAAATAAAATGACCCATTTTCTTAAAAAAAAACATGCACTTTTAAGCTCTGCGCATTTAGCAAAAGTATTATTTGTAGCAATGGATTATCAGTTTAAATAACTTAAGTTATTGTCGTCGTCCACAACAATTTAGTAATTTAGTAAAAAGTCTAACTGTTGTAACAGTAGTTCTTAGAGGTTTACCAGGCTCAGCCAGCCAGGCGAAGCAGCGCCGGGTCCAAAGGTGACCATCTTGAAGTGCGGCCTGAGCATCAAGCTGGCAGAGTGAGGAGCAACAGGAAAGAATTGCCCAGTCGCAAGTTGGCCGTATAAGAGCAGGGGAGATGGCCTACCATCGCGCACCGTCACAAGACGCAACGGGACGAAACCAATTACCAAACATTGGCCGCGCCACGTGATTCGCTCACCCTGTATTAATACCGTACTCCCAAACTGACCTACAGCCCAGTTGCAGACAGACTGACACACTGCCAGCACATTTCTCCAAGGAACAAGCAAGACATGCATCTCATTATGAGGTGAACTGAGAGACCTCCATTGTTTGGAAGAAAGGCTACAGAACTCACCAGAATAAACACTTAAAAAGCTGATTCATTCAAATATTACTACTATAAATGGTAATGATGTATTTGTCGAGTCAAGGCAATGGGGCATGTCAGCCATCACACACAACATCTGAATGTTAGTATAAAACAGAATTGAATGAGAGAACATTTTACCTTCAGCTGTGGTGGTACACAAAAATGTGTACGAAGAAGAAATGAATTAAAATATTGTGTTTTTTTTAGCGAGCCAGAAGGCTGGATTGAGAAGCATGCATTTGGCAAAATGCTAATCATTCCTCCGCCACTAGCCAGTGCCCTGCACCGTAGCGGTCATATGCTCTTATATAAACTATTTACATACAATGGCGGCCTTTATTGGGCTGCAACAAGACTCTTTAGAATTCAGATCAAACGCCTCGACTTCCGCCTACCCCGGGCAAAGGGAGGAATCTGTGTGGACACAAAAGGCCTCAGCCTGCCACATTAGTTATTGTGCTTGGCAGGGCGGGGAAGTGAAGGAAGCTTTTGCCCTGAGTCACTGTCATTCAGAGCACAGAGACACCAACAGGTTTGCAGATTCATCCACAAAACACACATGCAAAATACCAATGTGGTAGAAAATGAGAGGCAGTCTAACAATTATTTATACACATGCTTTAACTAAACCAGTACTCTCATTTGATCAAGCTGATTTTTGTAACATAACTAATAATGTAAATGCTGCTATACTGTAAAATAAGCAATTATATATATATATATATATATATATATATATATATATATATATATATTTCTTGCATGGTCACTCATTAACTTGGCTTAAACTATTTTTGAGCAATAATTAGTTTTGTTTCAAATTTCCTTCCATTGATTTAATATCCTTTTGTGGGCACAAATACAAATGTCTTTATAATAAATATCCAGTCATTAAAGCTTACTGCACAGTTATGACTTTGCCTGCTACTATAAATCACACGCGTGCTTATGAATGATCTACGGTACAGCATCTGAACACACTGACAATTTTCATTTTGCCGTTATCAGCTGAGATTGCACATTTTGTTGTGGTCAGACGCCTCCCTATAACAGTAGAAACAATAATTTACAGTAGCAACAAAGTGAATGCAAGTGAACACAATGTGGTCATTTGTCATGCATCAGATGACCTACAGCAGTTCACTATGCCGGCCGTGAGCTTCACTGCAGTTGGGAGGGTTTGGGCGTTCTGGTAATTCTTTGAATGAACTGAACCTCATTTATATTCCCTCTATGGAGAACACGTTCATCTACAATACAGACAGAGCACACACACTTGTAGAGAACAGTTTTATTATGAAAGTAGAGACAAATACGCACACTGTAAATACAAAACCATAGATCTGCCATTTTACAAGAGCTCAATACTAACTAAGGCAACATGGCTCTAATGATGATTATTATCAAAGATAACAGACCTACTGCATGTGGCACACAGACAAATCAAGTATCACTTAATAGAGGGCAGCTAATTAAACTGGACTGGCACCGTCTAGCGGCAGGAAAAACAGGATTTGCGACACTTCCTTGTTTTTAGGAAATGCTAGAGTATATGAATGTATTGAGTACAAAGGGAAACGTTCATGTCCCCACACAGCATACATGCATTTAAAAAAAATTATAAAAAATAAACACATTTTTAACAATGCTTCAAGGACGAACTGAGTTTACCAACTTTTTTGTGTAAACAGTGTCACATTAGCTTTACTCACAATCACTACACAGAGCTTTGACTTTATCAATTGCAATGTAAGACGTAAAAATACACAAGAAAGCTGATCCAATCAAAAGCCTTCAGTCTTAATTCAATGTTTATATTACATTAGATTTAAATATCCTTGATTTATCCTTGTACTGCGAGGTGAAAATCACAGCAGCTTGTCACCGTGTAACCTGACAGACCACCGTATGTTTGTCTCTGATCTAAGGATCATTACATGTCTATGTTTGGATTTGTGTTTCATGGCAGCTCTGCAATTTGCATTTACGTTTGACATGACATGGCCAAACAAAGCAACATAAACAAAACCACATAAACAAAACCAGGAACATTCCCTACTCTCTGAATTACTTCTTACTTTGAGTATAGCATGAGATGAGGTACTTCTCCCACTCCTGTTTCTTCTTGTTAAGTTGAATTGTGCCTAAAGAAAAGCAAAACACAAGATTTGCAGTGATAACGAGTGCTCTTCTGGTCATACAGAGGAGACACTGCCACCTACTGTAGATGCACAAGTTGAGGTAAACGATCTCCAAACTGTAAGTCAACTTACTTCTTTTCACAAGGCCAACATTCTTCAGCTTGCTATGTTTTGCATGTCCGTTCTGGGCCAGTCTCAAAGACAGTGATGCACCCCTCCTGAAATTTACATAATACCATTGTACAGTATTGTCCTCATGACCGTACAGTACGTACACATAAGGCCAACACAAGCATTTTTCAGCCCCTGTTCTACTTCTTAATGCAACAAAACATTTCATTTGTACAACATTAGCAGGTAAAATACAACTAAGATAGATATAAACTTTATTCATCGCCAGGGGGAAATTAGTTTGTAGCAGCAGCAATTTACAGAGTAAAATAAAATATTACGTAAGGGGCATACTTGCTGTTAATTCTAAATGTATAATTCACAATTAACTGATTGCTTCCTAATTAATTACCTCATTGCTCCGAGCTTTCCCTTTTCCAGGAACAGCTCGACTGTAACTTCGGGCCCCTGTGGGTACAGTCTGGCATAGAGCGTTCTGTTGTGCACCATTGCTTTGAACCAGCCCACTGCCTCCTCGGACCACTCACTCCCATTCACAGGCGTCACCTAGGGGGAAGGAAACAAGCAATAAATACCGTGAACTTATTTCCTTTGCCCAATAGATAAGGCTGTGACTAATCATGTGGACAAACGCCAGTACTGTAACTGAGTGTACACTCTCACAGCAGAGCACAGGATTTTGAAACATTTTCACGTATGCAACTCTGAGAGGGATAATCTGCAATAACGTAATAATGTTACGTTATTATTCATATTAAGATAATTTCGATGCTTTAGCATAGTTGTTTTTTTGGAAACTTTCATGCCAATAAAGCCACATTTGATTGAAAATCTGCACGCCAGTCCGAGTGACGGAATACATTGAACTGCGTGATGTAATTAGGATACCAAAGAAAGGCCACTGTGTTCCATTAGAGTTGCAGAAAAGAAAGATTACAGATACATTCAGTAAAAATGGGGACTTTTAGCACTATTTCACATAGTGGAATTTCACTAATATTGTATATTTAAAGTAGAAAAGACTAAACAATGCAAGTTATCACATGTCGAGAGGCGAGTGAAAAGACGGTTCGTAGGCAATGAGCGAATCGCTTTTAAATGTCTGGTCCAGCAAACGTAACACAGGACCAACGGGGACATTTGCATGCAAGTTAATTTAATGTAACTTACATGGATAATGCGGCTGCTCCAAGTAACATGAGGAAACACTAATGTGCCAAATTTCATTTCCACAGCTAGAAAGCATAACTTGCACTGTGATGACAAGTAACAGAAAGTTAAATCACTTTAATATTGTGATAGTTGGATTAGGTAGCCGTCTTTTAACATTAGTAATAGTATCAGAAGTAGAGCTGCAGGATAAATCATTGCAGCGTCCACACTGCAACGTGTGCCCAAGCTGGGGAGAGAATCTGTCTCCCCAGCTTGGGCATTTCCCTGCTGTTGGTTGGCTCGCGGGTGTGTCATCACCAGTCATATCTATACACCCAATGTGTATAAGAATAAATTATTTACTAGCACACACAATTGGTTAAAAGAGCACAATGTTTTTTAATAGATCTAACCTCTTCATTTGCTCTCAAAGTGAACCACACTGATGCGTTTGCTTTGAAAGGTTGCAATGTCCGTTTCTTTTCCAATATCACGCCGCTGTAAACGGAAAACATTTCTAATTCAACCCTCCCAACGCTGGTGGTACTCTCGCTAGGTGTGCCAAACAGTATCAGGAGGAAACCGCTCACATTTGCCAGCGAGACCTCGACAGCCTGCAGTGGTAGGACAGCCATTTCTGGAGTCAGCTCTTTGATGTTCAACAGTGACAGGCAGGCTGTGTCCCCGTAGTCCAGCTTCTTCACCTCCATCTTGATGGAAATCCCACTCCCAGCACCGTCAGCGGCATTATTATCTGACATCCAAAAGAGACAAGAGAGCATAAAAAAAAAAAAAAATCCAGGAAGGAATTCCCAAGTGGCTGCAGGCGAGCAAAGTGACACTGCTACCACCTAGAGGTACGCATCTGCAAAACCATTCCAATACACAAAACAGGACGCACCTCCGCTTACTCCGCATATCTTCGTCACCTGAGCCCTGCACCATTGTTCTTGCTTAGGAAACCAACCCATTACTTTAGTTCCAATGTCTGGAATGCAGCTCTGCTCGGCATATGAACTACTGGCTTTCCAGCTGCTGCAAATGAGAAAGAAATAATGACAACCAGAAACATGTGGATTATTAAAAAATAATAATAAAAATCTACAAAGAAAGCAGTAATGAACAAAAAAAGGGAGAAGTGGCTCTCTCTACGTTCTGTTAATGTGATCAGGGAATCAGTGAGGGTTAAAAAAAGCTGAGATCAGAATCCATGCTGAAGGACTTACTCTGCGAATAGGGCCTGCAGCGTCACGGTGGAGTCCCCGTGTTGTATGTGAAAGTTACCTGGGCTGACAATATGAGACACCACAACTTCAGCCTCTTCAAACCTCCGGATCTGGAACTCAGGAATGGTAATGCAGTTAATCGCTGGTTCAGGTTCTGTGCATTGCAGAGGTCGGGTTTTCCACTGGATGTTTAGACAGGAGTCCTCTTGAGCCGTTTTATTTGGGCCGTCTTTATTATCCATGGAGTGAGCTTTAGACTCTCCATGTCCCACCTCTGTTAAGATGTCTCCAATATCCCACAATTCAGTCTTTGTTGCGATCACACAAGTGTAGGTCAGAGAGCCACTCGATTCCACTCTCTTTACTCTGAAGACTGGGGCTTGGTTTTCAAAGTCTGCACATAATGTTTTCGGCGCTAGTGCATCGATCAGATCGTCGGCCACAACGTGTCTGAATTGGTAGCTTTGTGTTTTGATGGTAGGCCACTGTGGCAAATTTGACGTGCACATACTCTTACTCCACTCCATGACAGTGACATCTAGTGCACCCATGTTTTTAGCTTTAGCTTTGAGGAAGTGAAGCAGCTGAGAGGATGTTTGTTTTTGGTGTTGCACCTGGACATCTTCCTCACATCCCCAGCTCATTAGCGGGGGTATTTTCATTGGTTTAGGGTTACAGATCTCTGGGAGTATAGCTTGTATGGGAGGCAGTAGTAGGGTTGGCCTCTCTGGGTTATTCTCGGGTCTCTCAGTAATCGCAGGTGGAAGAATCGCAGCATCTGATGGGCGTTTCTCCTCTGAAATAACAGAGTGTTCTTTTTCTTCAGCCTGCGAGTGAGGGGATGAGCTCAAAGTCGCAGCGGCGCTGTTGTAGCGGGACGAGAGGCCGCATAACACGTCGTCCTGCTGGACCGCTGCAGGCTGGGAGATGAGGAAATATTTAAACTGCTGGTGGGACAGCGCGGCTCCAAGCACCTGGACTGCTTTGGCTATGGAGCTCGCCATGAGCGAGTTCTGCAACATAGGCCCAAACTTGAGAACATCGGTCGTTAGGGTCTTTTTGCCTCCGAGTGGCTGGAGCTGATTTGCTCTCGCTCCATTTCTGACAGAAGGCTGGACACAAACGTGTGGCTCTGCAGAGATGGGAAAAGCAGAAAAGAGAGTTAAATCAAACTGTATTATTTATCAAAAGGTGGGTTGGCCTTCTCGTTCTATTAGAGGAGACCAGCATTTGCTTTTATGTATTCATGAACGGCCTCTCCAGAAATTAAAACTTATATCCGACGTCACTTATTGGCTGGAGAGCTGGAACACATAACACCTGCTTACGGGACTTTTAGATTCTTTGCAACATGCATTTGGAATTAATTGTACCTTGAAGCTTGAATTCAGAGATCTAGTCAAATCCTGGTTGATTTTAGCTATGGCTGTTTTTAACTTATCTAAATTGGGTTATATTATTTTTCATTATATTATTTTATTGTAATTGTGATTAATGGTGAATACAGGATGTCACAGTTGCAGCTTAAATTGTTTTATTAATTCTTGACTTACCAACTGCGAGGTCTTTTAATAAACCGTTGAGCTTCTCAATGGTTTGATATTTTTCATCCAAAGACTGAACCAGATCACTGAAGACAGTAACAGTGGGAACAGTTGAATTCAAGAAACCTTGAACGTCTTCATAGGCCTGAGGGAAAAGGGAAACAAGTGATTTTGTAAGCAAAAAAAAATATACATGTTCAATTTTAATTTAAACATAATCAGTTAATAAACACATTTCTGGTAATCAATTGACAATTTAATAACCAAAAAACTTGGGCTCTGAGAAACGGTGACAACTCATTAACGGCCTTAATTTCTGACATGTTACACTAACATACACTAAGCTAACACTCATCGATTAGTTGGAAAAGTATTCAACAATACTGAAAATAGACTTTGATTGTAGCTCTGGCAACACTTTCGTGCAATTTTCATCAGTGCTTTGTTTCATTACAATGTTGCAATATCAGTCAACGAAGTACATTTATGGGTAACGTTAGCAGGGTTTGACCATGTGGCTTGTGCACTAGCTAGCTGCTTCAATGAATCTACAGGTGCTGATAACCTGAAGATGTGGAACTAGTGCTAACATTAACTTACCTTGTTGGTGAGGTTAACAAGCTCTTGTTCGAGTGTATTCCGGGCAATCTCCAGCATGAAGAGTTTGAAAGTTAACTGCACTTTCTGGGTGATTATGAAGGGCTGCTGCTGAGGAGTCATGGTCGTCTGGGACGGACTGGAGCCGCCGGGCTGCACGTCTGGTGGCTAACGCTAGCTAGCTAGCTAATTGTGTAGCTAGTGTTAGCTAGGCTCAAAATGTCAATGACGTTGTTAGCTATTACCAGTTTTCACAGCGTTAGGTTTCAGACACTGGGGGTTCATGTTCTTCTCGTCCTCGATGGTTTCTAATTCCAGCCGCGGTTGTGGGTGAAAGGTGTCCCGCTCCTTCTTCAGCCTCCGACAGACGTAGACGAACCAGCATCCGCCATGTTGGAAACGTTGAAGAGGGCTGCTGCCAGACCGGTGTACCAAGAATCATACAAAGTGTAATGTAATGCAAAATAATGCAAAAACAATATCGTATCTAAAAAAATCCTCCAGTTTAATTAAAATGTTAAATATAGCACTTAAGGATAGCTGGCGCGCTGAGTTTATCTTTATCTGGTAAAGCCAATGATTAGATGTCTCGGGGATCAAACGATCTCAACCTATTCTCAAACTTTAAATTTGAATTTATTCAAAAACAGTGGGGGATCCTAAAGTTAAGCCAATGTGAATTTGTAACATCTGTCAAGGGACTACAGATGAAAAATAGCCTCTTGGCTAACTCACATTTACAGGAATGTTTCAATAATGTGCACTGTCCCTAAATAAACCAATCAAATAAAAATAAGTATGGCCAACATTAGTTCAGCATATCTGATGAAGGTGATGTAACATATTGTTACTTGCATGATTCGTGCCATTTTTTGGGGTTGTAACCTAAAGTACCCACATGGTTGAATGCGTACAGATGAAATGTCATGTCATGGGTCGCATTTAAGACTGCTTAGCCTGATACAATGATCGATTCTTGGAGGCATCTTTTGCAGGGACCTCTGTGGACATGTATGAATTACTTAACAGGCCTTACAAGCACAGGGGCCCATGGGCACAAGGGATTACAAATCAAGTTTTAGAGTTCCTGGGAATCCGCATCACAGACAACATGACATGGTCATCACACATCTCCATCCTGGTGAAAAAAACAACAACACAACTGTATTTTTAAGGAAACTTAAGAAAGAAAAATGTCCCTCTCAAGTTCTTGTTAACTTGTACAGAGGAGCCATGTATCAAGCATTTTGATTGGGAACATTACAAAGTGGTATGGGATATGCACGGCCCAGGACAGGAGGGCTCTACAGCGATAGATAAAACCTCCCAGAACATCTTTGCTACCCATACTGAGAATCAGTGATATTGGTGAGAAGAGTTGCCTGCAAAGAGCTGAAAGGATATTAAAAGACAAAACCCACCACAGCCACAGCCTGTTCACCCTGCTGCCGTCTGGCAAGAGAAACAGAAGTATCAGCTGCTTTATAACCAGACTACAGAGCGACTTCCTGTGAGACTCATCAACTTATCCACCTCACTGCACCACAACAAATTGTTTTGCTTTTTTTGTTTTACTTATGTAGCATAAAGGGACTTCAACTACATTTTGTTGTGCAACCCTATGTTGTAGAATGACAATAGATTTACCTTGAACCTTGAAGTGTGTACTGATGCATTCAAAGAAGTTGCATGTGCATTGTAAATAATATTGTTATGAGGATTACTGCATTATGGACCGTGCCCACATTGGTAGAGGAGCACAATGCATTTGTTAAGAAAACTGCAATTCCAGGTCAGCAGATTTATGAATAGCACAAAAAAGAAAAGGAGAGCAGAACAAACAGCTAGATGCTTAGATAGTAACTTTATCAAGGGATGGGTTTACAGAAGAACTGATACAGCAACGGATTTCACTCTGATTTTAACAAGATATGTGAAACATTAATAGCAATGCCAGTGGCTTATGCTACATTTGATGTAAGATAAAATTATCCTTATTAAGAGACACTTCCAAAGTCTCAGGCTTATAACTGGGCAATGATGACAATCCTTTACTTGTAAGGATGGGCTTTACTGGAAATACAATTTGAGTGAGAGTGTGACAGCCATAGTTTTTAATACTTGCTCTATGTGCTAACAAACAAGCTGCTGCTAATGTCTACATGCCAGCTACCATTAACCACCAAGTAGAAGAATGAATGTAATTTGCTACTTGCATTCCTATGGTTTTACACCTAATACTAACCACACAGTGTTCTTTTCTTCCAGAGTGCTCTTTGCTTGAACTTGTCAAGCTGCTACTTGATCTAGTACCAACATCTTGTGGGTGGGGCAACAAAGACATTTCCTACAGTTATATTGCTCAAGAGGCAGATTGATAGGCATCCTGGCTCTTTCGGCACTTATACGCTGGCATCGCAGCCCTGGCTGTACCTGCTGGACAAAGTGGAAATGGGCACGAGAATTGCAAAATTACGCTTTGTATCAGTTTCAAAGGAGAAGGATGTGTCATGAGAAGACAATAAGAGGATTGCTTAACAGGATATCCTCCTGCAACAGCAGTTTCTCCCCGGTGAACCTTGAGCTACTTTATTTCAGAGTGTAATAAAATCCTTAGAATTACTGATTAAGTTGACACTGCAACATGTCATTAGGCTTTTGCACATTTTTCACCAGACTATCAGCCCACCTCATCGTCTGTGGAGCAGCACTGTGGGATGAAATTCAAAGATTGTTCATGTGTTGTTAGTGTAACCTCTTTTTCTTCCAATATATTTTTATTCAAATTTGCAGTGGTTACAAACAAAAACAGCCCCAGCCTACAATAGTTGCTCAACTAAAAACAGAAATTCACAATTCATCCTCACTGAACTACAGTGATTTATTTTGCAGGTATAGAAAAGGTGTACTTGTACTCTAAAATGAATACTCTCAACATATTCTAGTTATTAGGTACAGCATTTTTATTATTATGTTCAGCATAACTGATGCCACATTGTATTTCATTACCAGGGCCAGAGCCGATTATACATAACAAAACACAAACAGATGCAGAAAGTGAAATATATTAAAGTGTACAAGGTCTCTTATTGGCGTTTTATTGAATTGTTCAGGAGTTCAAATTCTGGGAACATTGTGCAAGGCCTCAGAGACGTCATAAAAAATTGAGCCAAGGCTAAACTTTTAGTTGCTTGCAAACGTTTCACAATGAAGGATGGGCAAAAATTCTCTGCCTGATTAGCGATTTGGCACACATATCGTAACCAAATACCTTGGGAGTCAATTTTAATCACAGCAATTTGGCTGCACAGGTCACACAGCGTGATGCATGTTCTACAAGATTAATAGTGTGCAGTAGGAGCCATAAAAGAAAGCTTTGAATGGAGATGAGAAAATAATTGTGTTAGACGATGAAGATTCTACTGAATTTTACGAACTAAAAGTCACGCAAAATGAAGCTCAAATTAATTTCAGTTACTTTAGTTTGCCATCCAGTTTCTCACTATTGTATTTGAGTTGCTTACTTAATGTAACCCATGTGCGTAGATAGAACAATGTCCAAAATAAACCGATGACAACAGATTTAACATATCACACTATGAATGATCTCTGTGTGCAACACCCTTTCCTGGTAAATATGAGGAGCACTGTCGATATTACAGATACGAATAAAACAATGATGATCATTGTTCCAAAGTGAACTTCCTGTGCTTTTGTATGAGACAAACAATACCCTGAAGGGTTTTTCAGATACTCTGTCATCGCAATGTGTCTATCGCTTGTAAAGCATACGGCGTCATTGACATCAGGCAGTTTCATCTTCAGCTCATGTAGGATTATCAGCCACTTACTGTCACAACAGTTAAAATAGTTTCCACTTATATACATAAGATTAAGGCGCTCCGATAAAGCAAGGATCAAAGAATTGTTTAAAGACTCAAAATGATTATTTCTTATGTCTATTTCTGTCAGAGGAGAGCAGCTCAAACTGCTGGGAATCACATCGAGGTGGTTGTTAGATATGTTCAGCTCAGTTAATGCTGGCATGCAGGGTAAAGACAGATCAGAGCTGGTCATGTTCATTTCACTAATGATCAAGGACTGGAGAGTCTTTTGCACACCCTCTAATGCGTCCCTTCGCACTACCATATGTGAATTTCTTGCAAGGTTCAGAGAAACCAAAGAGGTTTTTAGAAACGTGTTTGGTTGAAGCATTTTGATGTTGTTTTCTTTAAGATTGAGGTGTTTCAGCGTCCTTAGCTGGCCAATGACAACGCAGGAGGCATTGAGATTCATCTGCTGTGTTGATTGGTCAATTGAGGCACAAGGCTGCACAGAATTGTCTTGTAGATTTAATGTTTCTATTTGTGTGAGCGCATTGAGAAAAAGTGGAGAAATGTATGCAAGTCCGTTACTCTGCATGTTAAGGTACTTTAAGGAGGGAAAGAAAAGCTGCCGACGGAATCCTGATTCGTCGTCATTTCTTACGTTCCAGGTGATGTTTTGCAAACAGTTGAAACTAAAATTCAGAGTCTCTAATGATGTAAGACGGCTCAAAGTCTCCAGTGGGAAAGACCTGAAGTGGTTATAGCTCAGGTCGATATAAATCAGTGGCATCAGCCTCCAGTTTGAGTGTAGGATATTTTTTCTAACTGTTTTCTCGCTCATAATCTCACTATAAAGAGCATTGGCCTCCGATACCATTGTAGCCTCTGAATTTAAGGCACCGACCAAATTATTCTGTAAATGTAGATACCTCAAACTGTTCATTTTTGGAACAATTGGGAAATAAAGGAGTTTGTTGTGACTCAGATCAAGAATTTCAAGCCTGTACAACTGGTCATCCTCACGCGTAACAAAGAACTCAACTGAATTTCGACTAAGATTCAGATATTTAACTTGATGTAGTTTAAAATCACAGATATGCGCAAGGTTATTTCTGGCCAAATTTAGCACCTCTAATTGGCTCAATGGTTCAAATGTCCCCTGTTCTATCACCGATATCTGATTGTCATCAATAGTAATGGCCCTCAAACCTTTACTCTCTTTGAACAAGTTGTGTGAAAGTCTTGTTAAAGCATTACCAGTCATCTTAAGTTGATCAAGACACGATTTGTTTCGAAGATACACTTCCACTGCATCGTCACTCAAGTCGTTCATTGATATGTCCAAACTCTTCAGCCTACTGATGGATTGGAGGGCTTTGCCGTTACTGCCAATGTCGTCGTTCAGCGCATTTCTGGACAAATTCAACTCCTCAAGTCGAGCCAGGTCTTCAAAAGCGCCCTCGGAGATGAGATCCAGCTGGTTGGAGCTCAGGTCCAGCTGCTCCAAGTATGGCAAAGCAAGTGTGTGCAGCTGTCTGATGAAGTTATTGGACAGGTCTAGTCTCCTAAGCCTTACATCCAAATCCAGAGGGACAGAATAGAGGCTGTGGTTGTTCCAGGACTGCTCCTTGAAATGAAAGGAACATTAATCATAATCAAAGAGTGAACCATGGAAACCAAACTTGGAAAACAATTGCAATGATATTACACAACATTTCAATTATATATATTGAGCCTACCTTCGGCTCGTCATATGTCAGTCCAGTTATACAAAGGTCATGGCCGATTGACCAGAGTAGCAGGAGATTAGAGAACATATGTCTGACCATCCTTCCTCTGCTGTTGCTTCTGCTGCTGTTCAACTGTACTACCACTGTTGTCAGAGCTCATACACACACATACACCCTCTTATAGCCATGCTTCATGAAAAAAAAGGGAGAGAGAAAACAGCTGTGGACACCAGATAGACACTGGGCATTCTATATTTAGACAATAAAGGCTTGGCCACTTATACATCACTTTGTACTGCTCCCTATATACAGGGATGGGTCAAATGCAGAAGGCAAATTTCGTGTATATGTATATGACAATAAAAATGGTTTCTGGTTTCTTATATTAAGAAAACATCTGAATAGTTTTTCATTTGGATAAAAACAGGCTTTTAGACAAAGATGGTCATATTTCTGTGTTTAATGCAGCCAGTTATACGGATTCATACATTCAAAATTACCTTAATGAGAATTTATTTGTACTAAGGCATGTTATCCCATTTATAACAACTTAAATTCCATCATGACATCTTTAATTATTTAAAGCGTTGAGCAGTTTGTGTCCACCAGGAAAACACCCCCAGAGCAGAGCGATATAAATTTATACCTTTGTTTGTTTCTGACATAGTCTTTGGAAAACGGAAACCATTCTAAAATAGACGACAGGAACAAATAAACAGACAAAGTGGAGGTGGAGCAATGTATAAAGAGACATGTTAAAATAGACTGATGAAAGGAGGTGGAAGCACACATAAACAATGCTTCGGGGACAGCCCAGGTGGACTACCTGAAAAATACACTACAATGCTTTAAAGCTAAAGGCATTTAAAAGTAGTAGAGATAGGCAGTTCATTAAAAAAGTCCCTTCGGTTTTCCTGCTGCTGTCAGCCACTCTGTCCTTTATCAGCATCCCCTCACACAGCTCAGTGTCAGTTTCCTACATCCTGCAGGAACAAGCTGCATGATTATCATCTTCATACTGTCTTGTTTCAGTTTAGCTGTATGACACCAAAAAATGTAAACTCTGCGTCCATAGAAATGAGGGCATGGGGCCTGTATGGTATCACCAATTCCAGCTCATCGTCCTGATGCAGCCGCACAATGCCTGTAGCAGAAGATACGTAGAAGGAGGCATCAGAGGAGATGGGTGACAAATAAAAGGAAAAACTGACATAATGATTCCTAGTGAGGCCAGATTTAAATCTTCTGGGCATAGTCTCTGGAGAGATGAAAGCCATATGTATACAAAAGATATAGTGGTTGGGAAATGCACACAAACACAAGTTCTTGCCTAGCGCTCGTGAGAAGATCGATACCACAATCGCGCCTAAATGGCAAATATGAAGCTACAGCCAGCAGCTAACTAGCATAGCTTAGCACAAAGAGTGTAAACAGAGAGAAACAGCTAGCCTGGCTCTGTCCAAAGGCAACTAAATCCTACTTCCAACACGTCTAAAGCTCATGCACATAATATCTAATTTGTTTAATCTGTACAAAAAACAAAGTGTAAATGTCCAGAAGCAGTTTGGGAAACCTCAGGGTGATGATGAGACTCCAGGAAATCACTACTTCTGGACAAAAACTAGCAAAATCAACCGTACAACCACAAGGTGTCAATTTTACACCCAGGTTTCTGTGCAAATTAAGCAAACAAGGAATATAGGTGTTTATTTTGTTTATGCTTTGGACAGAGCCAGACTAGCTGGTCTGTGTGCTAAGCTAAGCTAACCTGCTGGCTGTAGCCTTATATTTACCGTGTAGACATGAGAGTGGTATCAATGATCTTATCTAACTCTTGGCAAGAAAGCAAATAAGCGTATCATTTTTTTAATTGTTGAAGACTATATCTGTAAGTGGCCACAATGCAGGGCCTCACTGACCTGCAGTGTAGCATGTATTGGCCGGAGTTTCACTGGGCATCTCCTGCAGACAGCGCAAGAGCTCTGTTGATGTCGTCCCTGTTCTAGTGGAACCCAAACTTCGAATGATATGACCCATAACTGTACTTGGGCCTCTGAACAAAACCTGTGAATTAAGGAGAACATTAGCGGACCAGTTGGAACAAATCTGATGTAATATCAATTTAGTTATGCTTGAGTTACAGTGACACCATACTTGTCCAAACACCAAGTAATATCCATCTTCTTGGACAATAATTCTGTTTTCCTTTTGTGAAATTGCATTTCCTTGCTGCGCAGAAACAGTCCAAGGGATCACTGTTATATTTCCTTTGGGAGAAGGCAAGACACACTTGTTCAAAATAATGGCATACGGTGCGCTGCTACAGTCAAACACTTGCATTTAGTTTTACCTCTTATGTCTGGCTGTTTGTCAGTGTTAGCTGTTAACTGCAGGAATGATGTTGGAGCTGGCAAGAGGAAGAAATAAACATAATACTTAATGTAATTAACTTAGCATATAGTGTTTATGGTCTCACTACCAGATTAGACCGTAACTAATGGACACATTTTCAGTTCTCTGCTCCAACCCACCTCTGCAGCTGCCCTGTTGCCGTTTCACTCTCCTGGAAGATATCTTCAGAGAACTCTGAGCTTTCTGCAAAGTACTCGGCTTTATGTCCTAAGAGAAAACAAAGCATTAGGACAAAACTTATTATTGTAGCGTTATCTGAATACTCACTAATGGCATAAATCTCAGTAGTATGATGTCCAAGATGACTCCATCCTCCATAATCAGTGACATACCTCCCTTGTTTGAGACATCTTGGCCATTTTCCCATTGACTCCCTCAGAACGTGGCTGATTTAATTGTAGAATTATATCCCCTTGGAGTTTGCGAAAATCACTTTCTAAAACACTGGCTCTGTGCACCAGGAAAAGACTAAGACAAAACATAAATGCTGCTAGTGATAATAAAGCTTTGTAAAGCATGGTGAGACTGGAGAGACAGACTGGATGTCCTCAAGTTACTCAAACGGGTGAGGTCACACATCAGTTAACCCCGGAAACCCAAATGTTCAGTTTCAAAATTAGTTTCCAAATGAGGAACTATCTCTCTCTCTGCCTCTCAAGATGGAACTCATTTAGATAGTATGAAGATTACAGCCAAAGTTGAAGTGTATTGTGAAACTTACAAAGTAAAAGCGACATTTCAATAAAGCCAAAGGCCTCAAAGAGCATCATTCGTTCTTGTCAAATCCCGTGCCAGCAGAGTCCAATATGGGAGAGAAGTTTTAGCCTTTTAAATCAATACCACCCGCTACACAAACACGAGACAGACACATGTATTTAGACAGAAAATGAAACATTTTAATCCATCAATCAACTCCATTTACAAAAGTATATCCCTTTTTATATACAATATGTACAGAGACGTATAAACAACTATCATTTTTCCACATGGATTCATTCATACGGTACCTAAACAATAGCACTGTAACAAAACATATCACTGATATTCTGCGGGGATGCTGTAGTGCAAATGTGTGCAAAATATATAGTGCCGTTGCTCTGTGAATACCTTATAACTCCAGTTTAAATGGGTTTTTCTCAGCTTTGCATAGATACCTTTATACTTGCTTTGAACTTGTTTTTTTCTAAAAACCTCGGGGCATATGGTGCTTTAAGCGCATGTTGAACCACTTACTTATAACTGTTAATATAATTAAATTAATTAAAATGGCCAAGTATACAAACTGCAACTACAACATTCTGAATAGCTGGTGTTTTTGGAGATACAATATTATCATTCAACAGCACTTGACAACATGTAAATATTAAGTACATGTCAGCGCATTGTCCTTCCTGGTTATAAAGAGAGATGCCGTCTGTGTTGACTATAAATAGAAACTTTTGTTTGGTGAAGCTCATCAAGGCTGATCTCGTTGCACAGAACCAATGTGAGGGGTAAGTGTAACAGTCTATATTGTCCTTTTTAATACAGAACTGTGAAAGTGAGCTAAAAAGTCACCCAGGGGCCTCCTCAATGTTAACAACTCGGGAGGATTTAAGTTTCCTCTGAACAGGGGGCAAGACAGGGGCATTTCATGTAGAGGCCAGGTGGTTGTGTAGTTATCAGTTCTGTCCAGCAGATGGAGCCTCTCCAAGTCTGACACTTCCCAGGAAGGTGGTGTGGTTGGTCATGCTGATGAGTGTGTCCTCGTACACTATGCGTATGGAGATCCTCTGGCCGGCGCGGAGCAGGCTAACCCCAGCCGTGTAGCAGGTGTTGAACTTGCGCTGGCCCGTCTCGATGCTGCAGGTGCAGCGGAGGAACGGGGTGGAGTCCACCATCACCTCATAGCTGGCAATGTCGGTGAAGTTGAGGTAGTACACCTGGTGGAGACATAAAATTCACAGAAGACTGAGAGGGGTAGTCAAAACAAATCCAACACGAGATTTAAGAGCTTATTTAAAGCTCGAACAGCTGGAATATCAGAGTAGCAAACAAGGCTTTGAGTTATAGACGTTCACTTAGGGAGAGTGAAAAGAAATATTTCTCATACTATAACTCAAACATAAGCAAAGCGAACCGGCTTTTACGCTTGGCTACAGCGAAACGGCCAGTTCTTTTGACTCTGAACTGTAAATTATAAGAGTTACGTCAAGGACCGTACTCACTTCTACCTGACTATAGATGAAGTAGACACCGTCCAGCAGCACCTCCAGCTCTCCAGAGCGAGAGTGCATTTTAAACACGCGGTGATGGATGGACACCATCTTCCAGTTCCGAAGGATGCCTTCAGAAAGATCTAAACATGTCACAGCAAACAAACAAGAGGCAAACAGTCAACATAAACAGCTTTCAGCAGTGTTTAACTACAACCAGAGCTCAGTGCTGGCAGACTATATAAACCCTCTAATGATGCTTACACTCCTTTTAGACTCACAAAGTGATGCAGGATGACTTAAATCTGCTAGCATGCGAGGGTTCAGCTCTTGACCCGAGTTAACGCGTGTCTAATTTATAATACAAGCCTGCTAAACTAATCGTGTAATAGCTATAAGATGACTTTAGGGTAACTAAAAATCGTACATAATCTTAAAGTAAATATTGGTAGCAACATTCTAAACCATCAAATGTTAGATATTTATTCTGGTGGAAGTCTGTGTATAGTAGAACAGTTGCAGACCCAGTTCTTTGTCTTAAGGGTGTTGACATGTCAATCATTTTGTGTCAAAGACAAGCGGTGCAACTACAAGAGACAGAGAATAGACAGAAGGCCCACCTTCTCTCACTTGGATGGTTGTCTCCTGTCCTTGCAAATGAACCACTGCAGGCTGAAATGCAAAAGAGACAAAAAGATGTCTGTGAGTAATACATGACACACATTAAAACAAGAGAACAGCTGTTTCATCAGGGATTGTGTGTGGGGTAAAATTGAATTTCAATAGCCGACATGCTCTACCTGGAATTCTTTTGTTTTGGTCTTATCGGGAACCCCTGCAACAATAAGGGAGAGAGACATGATCAATTTCTGGCCTTCAACACTGCTGGGAAACAAAGGAGATGATGATGATTAAAACAAAAACAAACACTGACATAGTTTAAAGAACGATCACTGATCTCCCACACCGTGTTTGACATCCTGCATCAGAAACTCTCACAGTGAGTTCATTGATTTTGACAACTTGAGCCCCCTTCTAGTGTGGGAACGTGTCTACAAGTGGGAAAATAACTGAAATCTAAGAACAGATCTCTCAACTCGTGGGTGTTCTCCAGTCCTCTGGCTTGACTATTGGCTATCTCAGCGCGTTATCGCGTCATTTCTATTTTCGGTTTTAATACCTGCTGGACCTTGAGTGCCCGAAGGTCCCTGTGGCCCGGGGGGTCCAGGAGGTCCTGCGGGCCCCACAGCGTTGCTTCCTGGAATACCGGGGATTCCGGGGATGCCTGGCGGCCCCTGTGGGCCGGGGGGACCAGGGGGACCAGGGGGCCCCGGCACAGACCGTTTTTTCCCTGTAAGGAGAGAAAGCAAAATGGTTGGCAAACTAAAAAACTGGCAAACTTAAACACATCTTTTGACTGTCGGGTCAATTTTATTTATATAGCTCGACATCACAAATCTATAATCAGAATGTAAATTATTTTATTAAAAGGATAGAGGCAGGAATAATGTGCCGACATACAGAATCAAATATAGAATCGCTTTAATTCAACCTGGTTGTTGTATTTTGGACGACATCTCAAAGATACTTCCAGAAAGTAGGCAGCAGGTAGCAGTCGAATCTATGACCAAGATCACTGAAACTTAGTCGGAATTATTCATTACCTTTTCTCTTTTCTTTCCTTCTTTCCCTTCCAGTCGATTCTGTGAGAAACACAAACAGTGTGATTAAGCTTGAAATGGTCTCCTGAACAATTATCATCTCCGATAACGTCTGGACTATCCAGCTCATTCCATGTAGGTATCCTAAACGGGCTAAAATAACAGATTCAGAGGGTTTCGGCACTGAACACTGGAGTGGAGGTATGTCAGTCTGTGGTATCTTCTAGTGTAGTAATTTGTAAGTGTGGTTTCACCTCCTCTGTATGAACAAGTGCCTTAAGCATTCACAGGCAGTGGAACTGGAGAAGATCATTAGAGAGATACTTTATCCTGCCAAAATCCTTTTCTTTGAATTAAGCCCAGATGGCGAATGCAGATGAAAGTGTGCTTACATGTGTGTGTGTGTGTGTGTGCATGCTTTACAACCATGTGTGTGTGTGTGTGTGTGCATGCATGCATGGATGGATGGATTTTGGTGGGGCATCCATGTCAGTGTTTGAAAGACAAAATGCACTTGGTGTGCGTGTGTCCGTGTTTATGCTCCGTGTGCAGCTGAAGAATCCTTTTCAAAAAGCCGTCTCGCTGCTCTTGTGTTTACCATGTCATTACAACTACAAAGGCCATTTAACCTTAAAACCTCACAGTTTGAGTCCCCCTCAAACATATGGCCAGTGTTTCTCCTCTGGCTAAATGACTGGATGCATCCGCATAGATTTCTCTTAACGAGCAGCCCTATCTGGGATCTGGTGCCCGTTAGGAGTGCCCAGAACGCACACACATATACACACACACACACACACACACACACACGGACACACACGGACACACACGGACACACACACACACACACACACACACACACACACACACACACACACATCTAAGGCTGAGATTACAAAAGCTTTTGTCTGTGCGCTGAGCGCAGAGGAGAGACCTGGGAATGATTAGTGTTTAGAGGCTCGGGACTTTACTGATTTATGTAGAAAGTCTCAAAGGTGAGTTTTTTCTTCTAATTCAAACACAATCACTAAACTCCCCCCCAAGTATTCAGTGTCACGCCACAGACGTTGGAATGCCTTGTGATCATGCTGCACTTGTTCCACTCAGACATGAAACTTCAAAGGCTTGGCTTTTTTTATTTGCATAGCTCACATTCTAAACAAAAACTACAAAAGCTAATTCAGACATATTGGACATATGGTTTTCTGCGGAGCCATTGATTACGATAAATCAATTCGGTGGAATTAATGTAAGCCATCAAAGACGCGGATGATAACCTCTTTGAGAAATGGTCACCTGGTTCCTTAAAATGAATGCATGTACTATGAAGTGATTTTGTTCTGTCTTATTTTCTAGAGGTTCAGACTTGACTGAGAGCACAGCTGGATGCTGAAGATCTAGTTCTGCTTATTTGACAGACATAAAGGATATTTCGGGGGACCTGATAATATTTCGAGACGGGGAAAATCAACGCGGGTTTCCGCTGTCTGTTTCAAATTGGTGAAACCCTCCCAAACTCCATGTTGTCCTTGTTTGCTTTCCAAGTAATAATCAATCCAATGCCATTTAATCCTTTGCTCTATAAACTCTGCAACATTATGTGGTGGAGCTGCTTTGTTAAGTAAGCACAAAGCGGTAAAGAAAAAATAAAATCAATTCCACAAAAAGTGAGAAAACATTAACAAACTGTTTTGAAAATGTATTAACTTTAAGACCACCGAAGGTTATTTACACTGTACCTGATCTCCTCCAAACAAACAAGACTTACAGAAACTATTGCTCAACAGACGACGAGGCCTTCGCCAATTACATATCCAATAAATAGACTGATGCAGGTGCACCCGAAAGCAATGGCGAAGCAATTGTGTTTTTTGTCATTAAGGGAACTGAGTTTGGAGTTTGAGCCTGACGAATACAGAGGGGTGAGCGGGGAGACAATGAAAGGGCCAGTACACGTCTTCTGTATCAAGGTGGAAGGACAAGACAAGCATTAGTAAATTATGATAAATAAACATACCTGTTTCTGACTGCCTGCCGGGACTTCTTTTCGCCCGCTGAGTTATGCCCCTGTTATCCTCTGTGGCATGGAATTCACTATTTCTGTGTACCGGTAGTAACTTGTCCTGGCGAAGAAACAAAAGAAAATATTGAGTATGGAAAATTCATATGGCAGGAAATTCAAGAGGGCCACTTGCTTCATACACCGAGACGCTCCCCAGTACATGAATGCCACCTTATATTAATCCCGTGATGCAAACAAAAGGAATGAGCGATACAAGTATTTGAGAGGGAAACCCAAGTTACAAGTGGCCTTTTCTATTCTTGGGCTATAATGTTTGCACAGACACAACTTGGGGCATTTGAAAAGATGCGAGACACCATCAGCAAGCACATTCATTTGTGGCCTAGTCATTGTCTGTCCCATTGGGGGATGTAACACATCCTGTAACCCAAGTCACTTTTGTCTGCGTTTCTGACGTTTGAGACGGTCACCTCGACACGACTGCTCTGAAATTCACCTTTTTATACAAAAGGAGGGGGATTGTGGTTAATCTGAGAGCAGTACCCATTCATGTGGCACCTGGTCCCCAGCCCTATTCAGAGGTAAGATGAATAAGCAACAAAAAAGTCAAAGAAAACGATCTGATGAGGCTGGTCTGAGCTCATCCCTAAAAACAGGAAAAGCTATGCTACAGTGGTGGGGTGTTCCCATGGGCGAGTGAGTGGCGGGACAAACTGCATGCCTGTGTTCTCATGTGACTGGTTCTGGTCGACCTACATTCACATGAACTCTGTAGGACGCGCTGACCTGACTGTAGTACGCTGGAGACGGGGCCCGGTCCCCCGACAACAAAAATGTTTCGTGCTGAGGAGTTTTAAAAACGCAGTTTTGTTTCAAAGTGGCTTTCTGTTTGAACAGGCAGTTTGTGAGCACATCGTTGGAGGATTCCCAAAATCCGATAGACAAAGAAACTCGACATTGGAAACACAACCGAGACCACCCAAAGCCTTCCTTTCGTCGAGCCCCGCGATACATGAGATCGCTTTCGGTCACACTTTGGAGTGTCAGCGTGAATAATGGGCAGAGTGTGAGGCTCGCGGGCTCTCGACGGCTGAGGACAGACGACCAGACGACCAATAATTGTGCCGGACTGCTCGGAGTTCGGATAACTGACATCTCCAAAGCACCGACACGTGCAGGCCCTTAGCATGGATCACGAGATAATAAATAATGATGGATCATTCATTCTCACTGCTGGGAACGAATCAGACAAGCTTACTGACAGACACTTTGACCTCTCTTATTGTTCATGGGGGCCAAATCCCAGTTGGGTACAAGACGACATACTCCATGTTTCCAGCTGTGACGCTCAAATAAACATAGTTGTTATGTTTACCCCAAACCCCCCCCGACGGCGAGAAATCTCCTTCTCCGGCAAAGCGGCGTGAACTCCGAGTGCCTCTTTGTGTGGTTTTCAAGCAGAGCCACTGAAAGACCATAAGAAGACAGACAGGGAAAGTTATGTTTCGAGTTTCTTCTATACCTCGTCTCAGATGTGGGATCCCTCCCCCCTGTGGTGAGGGATGAGCAGTATCATGTCAAACACCCCCCCCCCGCTGGCTGTGTTGGACAAGCTCAAAGTAGCTAAAGTCTACATCGCCGACCAGCTGCCAGCCGTGTCTGACCGTATAAGCACGGGAATTCCATCCCGATGGAGGAGTACGTGTTGGAGCGGTTCATCGACACACAGACGGCCAGATGTTTCCCGCGAGCAGCGACGTTTGCCATTCATTTGGTGCACAGGTGTCTTCCACATCTCCTCTCCAGCTGTTGGCATATAAGGGGCTTTTACCTCTCAAAGGATTCTGGGTGTATGTTCAGGCATATGGCATTGCACTTTCGTCAGCCAAACACGATTCAACAGCCAATTTCTGGCCCGGGATTAAGCTCAAGCAGAATGACAAAAAACAAACAAGCAATCTGCTAGGCTACTACCACAACTGGTGTGTCTGTTGTCACACGTGAAGGCAACAAAGTGATCTTTAATAAAAAAAAATAATAATTATACATTATTCAATTATACGACTATGAGAAATGGTTCTGCGCCCTTGTTCGCTTCATTTCACTTCATTACACCATTTACTGCCTTCAAAGGCACGCAGGGTTACAGTAAATCAGGATGACAACGTGTTGGTATGTATGCCAAGTGCCAACTATTGAGTAAACCATTCTTTTTCAGCACAAGGGGAAAATGCTATTAATTAGAGGGCTTTCAAATCTTCAAAGCGCGGGGTGTGCTGTTGCGCGCAAACGACGCGATTCCCCGTTGCTCCGTGAGGATATGACTAAAATTCAGTCACCCCAGGGATGTGTAATTTAGCGATCACAAGACTTCTTGTCTTTTGCCCCATTAGTACTTACTATTACAACAGCTTGTATCTCTTCCCATCTCTGCACTCATACCACAGACATTCAGACATTTTCAAAGCTCGTTTATGAAAATAAAAAAGGCTCCAGCTCAAGTGTATTTTTTGACCAATACCGTTTCCAAAGCATGCTGGCTGCAGCAACGCCTCTACAGCTCAGACTAGCAGCGTCTAAATGACTGAACTGCGGTGGAGATCGTGGAGTCACGAAGTTGAGGAGGTGAAACTCGGGGCTGGTGGCTGTGGGTGCCAGATGCTGCGGACTCGGGTGCCCATCACGGCTGTACAAGCATTACTAACTGTAGCGGCATGCGGACCGCTGAGAAATGAGACGGCGTGTTTTCTTCTTCAATTTACCAAACAAAAAAAAAAAAGGAGTGTTCTTTCCTCAGCCAATATCAGACACTGCTCTCTGGAAGGCCATGTGTTTCAAACCATAACTTGCGATCTGAAAGCTGTGGAGCACACAACCTAAGGGAAATGTCGCCTGTCAGCAGCCAATCACATCTCGGATTGTTGCAACACCGCTGGCAAAGCGAGTCCTCGCTGAATGCTTTGAGCATTCATTATTTCGGTGGATGTTTGTGACTGTGGACTCGATCTTTACTGGGCGTCTACGCCGTCCGTCTGTCAACACAATTCAGTCTTATATGGAAACGTTTGAGGCCTCGTACCTCTGATGTTTCAACCTCCTCTTGCCTTGTGCTTTTTCATGCCACGGAGGCTCGCTCCCATCTGTACCTATGATACTGCTTGTTTTAACTAATCCTGCACTGGTCACAATTTAAAGTAGATGCGGGTGACAGCCCACCGCGGCGCCCCACAGCTTGTATGCCGCCGAGGACTTTGTGTCCCATCAAACTGACTTTTTTTAATAGCCGTTAACTAGGCTCCAGATGTTTCAGCATCTGTTCTCTGGGAGACTTTGAAGGCATACATCAGAGGAGAAAATTATTTCATATAATGGTTATAAGAAAAATGTTGGGCTGAAGAATAAAACGCTATCAGAGCTATAACACAATTAAGTATTCCACGGGTTGACTTTTACGACGCGTCACTCACTTAGGGCAGGTGAATGAGGGTCAGGCTGGCTGTGAGCAACACTTGCTCTGTAAGTCAGTAATGCCCCGCATCACACCCTTCAGACCTAAGAGCTACACACACCTGGGAGGGGCTTTTTTTTTTTTTATACTGTTGGGAACTTCACAGATCTGCAGCACAGCTGGGGTTTACTGCCTTGCTCAAGGGCATACCAACTGTGACTGTTGAGGGGAGGACTGTTTGTCTTGTCCCAGATGATACTCGGCAAGATTATCTGCTCTCATTTAGACGCTACCACTCGGGTTGGAAAGAGTGTGAAATGTTACGCTACTTTGAAGTGCAGGTCAGGAATGAGTGCATTTCTCCATCAAAGTTCTCACCAAACCTTTCCTCCTTTTATTGCATATTGTTGCTGGGAAAATCTCTTGAGATATATAAACCTTTCAACAATATTGTTTCCGTCTATTTACTTAAATTTATAGACACGCTGACAGATTTATGGGCTCAAATTGTGTTATATTGTTACAAATATGGTATGACAGCATTTTTACTGCCTTACTTTCTTTCTGTGCCTCGGATCACACCGCAGTGACCCCTCTCTGTTCACAGACAGATTCTGAACACCGATCAGACACTTGTGTCGCCTCGATCACTCGCTGGGAGTTATAGCCGTGATCACCGTCTTCATATCAGTGGCGGATCTATATCATTTCAGTACAAAATGATGTAATACAAGTACAAGATGACGTCGATGGGATAGAAACGCATCCAAAATGTGACCAAACTTAAACCTGGATGAAAAAATAAACTACAATATTACTAGATTCAAAATAAACGTGGTGCCAGAATAAACACAGGGCGGTGTTTTCTTTTCATAATGAAATTTAAGCATTAAAACAAAGAAAAACAACATTGCTTGTTTCCATGAGCACTTAAGAGAAGATATCAACATCTTCAAACTCTTTTTTTTCCAGATAAAACAAACCCAGTTTTCCCTCAATGCTACAGTCTGATCAAACTGATCAAAAGTTCTTTCCATTCGGTTTGACTCAAGAAGCCACGAAACAAAAATAAATGTTTGACGTTCGACACTGACCAGAACCAGTTGAAGACTGAAAAACACACACTTAATTTGGTGTGCAAAGCTGTTATTACACAAAGAACACTTGTCTTTGTCAAAATAAAACTCAACCACAAAGCCGAGTAAGTCCATCCGACCTGAGGTTCCCCATTGGTACTACATGTTTACCACGACTAAGCGCATAATGCTCCCCACGTCTGCTGTATCGCATGTCTATGCGGTGTGTATGTTTGTTCCTGGTTGTTCGGTCTTCTCTGAAGACCTTCCATGTCTTTTACACTTGTCTGTATACCTGCACATCGCATCAAATCGCACGGATGCTGCTGAAGTTGCTTTGATGAAATCCAACAAACAGTTTCGATCCCTCCAAAAGACATTCTTCAAAGCAAATGCCCGAAAAACTAACAAGTGCGGCCGCTGCGTCCAAATGCCACATGCTCCCGTTTCCCCAACTATGTAAACTGTGGGATGTGTAATCAGAGTTGTTTAATGCAGACATCTGGCAAGGACAGCATCACAGCGCTGTTAAATATTTACAGCTGGGCCACAGTCTTTCACCTCATGAAGCGTCACCATCTGGGTTGAATACCGGGCCCATTTGGCTCGGCTTTAACTGGGGAAACCAAACTAAAATAAGCTGAGCAACGGACACATTGACGACTAAATGAATGGGCTGAGCTTCCCACTGAGAGGAAAATGTTGCAGAGCAGACACCAATACCAGCAAGTGATCTCTATAATCTTTCCTACAGAGAAATGAATGCTAAATGTCCAGCCCATTGCCCCCGCACAGAGGATCATATTCTCTGCAACAACAAAAAAAAAAAAGGTTACACAACCGGGTGACATGTGAGCTAATTGAGCAAGCACTGCAAAGTTCAGACCTACGGGTGGGCCCTTTGTACTGATGAAATTAGGGGATTGTGTGGTGGTGGCGGGGATGGAGAGGGCGGCAGCTGTTGCCAAAGCCACAGACAACACAACGAACATTCAATCAGCCCGCTGCCAGAAAGGAAAACACATGTGAGGCGAGGCTGGCTCAGCTCCGAGTACCAACTGCTCCATCTAAGTCCTGATGAATTTACATCAGCCCTTGGGCTTTGCACCTGCTGGTGATCCAGTTCATTTTTCCGTCCACCTGCTCCAGCACATTGACTGACCAGTCTCCGGGAATCCAACTGGGCAGGCTAAGTATTGAGCATCAACCTCTGTGTGTTTGGGGATCTCTGGAAACAAGATGAATTGGGTTAAATGTGGTTTGATTAGGGAAAGATAAAGCCATGTCTGTAAATTAGATCACTGTGGGATTTTTTTCCCCCTTGTTTTATAAAAAGGCACAATTGGCACCATACATCTCCAACTTCCTCCCTGGGTGTGTTTACCTGAACAGGAGACTTTGGCCAGGTGACAGACTTTAAAGCTTATACCTCCTGTGCATCTTCGTCCAAGAAGGCTGAATCACGCAACGGGAGCGCTGATTCAAACATATTTGTCTGGAAACCGAGCTGGCAAAACGTCGTGACAGGCTACTGTAAAATAAGTTGCCCAGAAACAAGCCATAACAGAGCACAGACACAGAACCCGACACCGTGATCCGGGAACAGGAGGACTGCACGGAGGTGAGTGAACACGAACAGCCTCCGTGTGAGGAATGAAAACAATGTCGCCTGCAAATGAGCTGCTGTGGCTTTTTATTTAGTTTTTTTTTTGTAAACTTACAAAAATAAAAAAATAAATGTTTTACCTCATGACCCTCTGCGCCGCGGCTGATGCGGGAGTCCAGTCGCGGGTGTCCGAGTGAGACCACCGCCGCCGGGTCAGCCAGGTCACTCCCCGCAAGTGTCAATATTGAATCCCGCTTCTGGTGGATAATTTCCCTTTTGACCTCGGACCGCAGGTCCAAATAGCAGACGAGGGTGACAGCGTGCAGAGACAGCGACAGCAGGAAGAATCCCAGGAAGACAACGCTGCCGCTCCGGCTCCTGCACTTCTTGCTGCACGTGCATGGAGCTGCCCTGGGCATCACTTTGTCCGGGAAATCCTCCGCGGGTGAACCATCGCGTGCCATTATATCGGACCGAGCGCGAGTGAAGATGCTCTTTATCTCGGCATAATCGGCTCGTTTTGTCTCGCGCGGGCCGCGGCTATTCATTAACGTGAAGACTCATAGGTGCAGCAGCGTCAGGTCGGCGCAAACTTCTTCGAGTATCTGTAGTAACAATAGAGACCCGCCCACCTCTCGTGTGATTGGTCGGTGGCAATTACGAACCCAGACAATCCGGGCCAGAGGGTGAGGAGCCTGATGCGTCAGGTGCAGTAGTTGAGTGACACCTAATGGACAAAATGGGCAGCTGCAACACCTGTGTGTGAGAATCTTCCCCTCTTTACATCTGCTTGGGTTGTGTCATTATTACTCAGCACTTTGAGGCAGGAAAACACATTTCGTGGGTGACCCTCTCCTGCGTCTTATTTTGATGTGGGTCTCAATGGGAAGGGTCACTTATGTAATGTACGTTGGTTATGCATGTTTTAGGCTTTGGGCATGCTATTTTCCATGTGTAGTTTGTTTGGCCCTTTGTTTTGTTATGTGGGTGGCACACGGAGAGGTGGTCCTGTGCGAAGAATTCATTCAGAACCCCGGTAAATATTGTCCAGCAATGTTACTGAAGCGGTTGATGATTTCATCATTTCATCAAAGAGTGGAAAAGTATTGCAAATCATAGTCAAACTACACATGTTTTATTACATTTATCTGCATTTGGGCCCGGGGCAGGCTGAGCAGCATGATAGCGGGCCTGGAAGAGAGTCAACGTCCCAATGAGCTCAGCATCACTCTGTGTACAACACCATCAAATACTCTAAACACCTGTCACTCAGCTGGACTTGGGGGAATAGTTTGACATTTACCAAAAGGCCGGCTGAGGACAACGCTTTAAGAAGATTGACTGTGGCACTTTGGTTTCTACGTTTTCAGCATGCCAAGCCAAAATTCATTTAGTTCTTTTGAAATGGAGACACTTTGATCTCTGAGGCAAGGAACCAGAGGTAGCCTGTGGATAAAGTCCGTCCTTGAGTCTTGTGATGATGAAACAGGTGCACATAGCGGGGCTGAAACTTGGGGGCTTGATGGATCACCAGCTTAGATTTGTTTTCAGGCAAGTGCCACAAAACATCTGTCTTTATTTCGTTGGGACAAAACCTGACATCTGAGTGCACTTGACCTACAGGGAGGTACACTCTTTCATGATATGAGCTCACCCTGTCACACTGACTAATCGCTGGTTCTCACTTGACATTGTGAAAGGAAATAAGGGAGAAAAATGGGGATCAGAATATGGGTATTTCATCACCGTGAAATGTTGTCAGCATGAAAGTTGATTGCTATAAGGAGGTGAGAATGTATTGCTATATTTCTTGGGATTGATTCTGCTCATGCTACCACTGCATCACAGCCTATTTCTCCTCCGCGCAATATGTTTCATTCCTCCAACTCATCTACAGAAAAAAAGTTATTCTAGTCAGCTGCCACTGAAGGGCAGCATCGCCAAGCCATAAATCAATAACACGGCGTGCCAGTGTCCTGATGATCTCCAACTTAAAAAGCTTCATATCGGGTGAATAATGACATTTAAAGAACATCTTATTTTCATATTCTGCATGTATCTTTACATAACTTCTCTGTGGAGTGTTGATCAATATTAAGCATGCTTTCTCTCTCTCTCTGTAAGTCATTTCTCCATTGTTAGAGTATACGATAGTGAAATCGTAGAGAGAGAAAGACATTCAAAGTAACCCTCATAGGGCCTGTGACTGAGGGCTCAGCCTAAGCACGTTTGCCACGCTTTTCTTCCAAGCAGCAGGCACAATGACTTTGAGAAGCAGATAATTCAGGACTGGAATAGTTAGGCACATGCATCGCCAATGATTTCAAAAAGCCATTTTTGGAAAATGTTTTTAGGTTTGTATATATATATATATATAGGGGCTCGAGGCTATTTACTCTATCAAATTTGAAATAATTTGTCGTTGTTTTGTGTGAAGGAGGAGGTTATTGGCATTGTTTGAGGCGAAGGTCAAACAATGCTGTCTGAGTCACCTCTGAATCTGCTGCCTCGTTTCCGACAACACAACTTTCAAGCCTGTGACAATTAAAACCAGTTTGGTTGTTGTGATTGTTTTTCTGGCATCGACAAAAAAAAAATAAAAAAGCAGGAATAATTCATATAACATCCCCCGGGCTTCAATGCAGCGTTCATAAATGGTGTGCCACTCTATCCTCTCTGAGCTTATAACAAGATTTACAGGCTTTCCCTGCCAGATGATAGAGTTTTGCAGGAGGAATAGGCACTCTTATATTTTACCATGGAGAGCTGAGGCTCATGACGTCTACAAGCTGTTGGAAGATGATGGCTGCTTGGTCTTGAATAAAGATGTGCTCTCTGTAAATTTCTCCATTCTCCTGTAACCATTGATCAATTAAACGTTCAATATCAATCATAAGGAATCAAATAAGAGCTCAAATGATTCATAACTAACAGAATAATACCGTCACATATTACAATAAATTGTTTCAGACTTCTCCACCCCTTACATTACCTCATTGTCCCTGCACATTGAATTGCGGAGGTGTAACCTTGGCTAATTGGTATGCTGTGGCATTTGATTCACCTATAAATCTCCTGTGAATTGGACAATGTCTCCCATTTCCCCAGACAATGATGAATTCACTCTCGCCGTGGGTGTCTATCTTACGAGGAGTCCTTATCAAGATCCGAGAGTCCTCTCCCTGCCTTTCCTTTTGCACTGGGCTGCTTCTGTACCCTCAAGTTGCTCTCTCTGCTTCCATCTATTTGCTGACTGTTGTGTGGAACTCTGTACAGAAACACTTTGGGTAAAGTTAATTGATTTTTGATTAGTAAACAACAACCATTGTAGGGTTGCACTTATTCATGAACTGTTTTTGTTTTAATATTATATTTGGGGGGCTTTTTGTCTTTATTGAATAGGGACAGGCAGGGAACACAGGCATATACAATATATGCATTATACTATAATAACGCTTTTATATGTAAAAATTGAAATCAAACAATATGGTAGCTTGTTAAATAAATGTCGGGGGTAAAAAGCACTGTGTCTTCCAGTTAAAAGGTGGAGTTGTAGTATTTAGTACCATAAAATGGAAATAGTCCTGCTCAAGTGCCTCAAATCAGTGGCTTCTAGAGCTTTTTCTCTGAAAACAGCTGCTTGCTGCTGCTGGAAGTGACGATGATGAGAGCAGTTTGACTGAAAACAGAGCAGCTTCTGGCCTTAAAACCAAAACAACGAGCAGAAAGTTGTTAAACTGCCCTGTAGGATTGTGGTGAACACAGGATAACCAGTCTGGTTATCCTTTCACATTACACATAGTCATTTGGACAAATTGCACAAGTTTAACATCTGAACTTTCTTTTCATACTTGAAGTTTGAAAGTTTCTGTCCCTAAATCTTTATTTTCCCCCTGTGCCACTTTTTCACTGTTTAAGGCAATTTATTAAATAGTGATGCTTTGCTGTACAGGCTGTAATTTCTTGCCTTGCCTCAAGCTCAGCAGTACTCATCTTTGAGCAACCTTGTCTGTTTCACTGCAGCACCATCAGCAGAGACACGGCTCTGTAATTGTATTTATTAATGAAAGGAGGGGACCTGAGAGACATACAGAACACTCACATGATGGAGTGACGAGCTGAGGAAACCCCAGAGGAATACAGACAGGCTATGGATCAACTACATAATGGATCACAAAAGAATCAAAAGTAACACATCACTGATTAGGAATTATTGTAGGTTTTTATTGGTTAAAATGCATTATTCATGCTTAGCTAAAATAGTTAATAATTATAGTGTATTTTTTTTCCAAAGAATACATTATATTCATCAGCATTACACTTACAAAGGCAACTGTTTGCGTACAAACTTAATAGGGTGATCATTTCTCTGTGTTTTTTTTTTGGTATGCTGTCCCCAGGTGGCTAGAAAAATCAATTACTTCTGCTTTTAAGTATTTTATCCTGCAATAACTGAGTTGTTGAAGTTGTTAGCACTTGTTAGCAAACAGATGCCTATTCAAACGTCCAGCAGATATGGAGCAACGTAACAATTATTTAGCCGTGTTTCTGGTCCCCCGATAAATGCAACACCAATATTTAGTCTCTTTTTAGCTCTGTTTTTTTTCAATGCCAGATGGAGGTAAATATCTGGCACTTTAGCTGCTAAATGCTCCACTATGTTCACCAGATTTTTGTTAACGTTGCATCTGCTGTTTGGTGCTGAAGCGTACAGAGTGTTCATCAGAGAGTTTTCACTGCTGGCTGCAGCCGAAAGCGCCATTGCGTCAGCCGTGAGAGTGAACCAAAACAGGAAAGATGAGGGCCAAAAAACACAAAACATTGTGCTGAGAGACATTTTAGAGCTGAGGGGAAAGTCAGAGATAATTATCCGTGAGTTCATCTTCATGAGTGACCCTTTCACATCCATTGTTAATATAAAAGTATTGATTAAAGCCACCTAAAATATTTGCCAAGTAAAGTATACTGGCTAACTTACAAGCTAGGTTGTGGTTAACAACATCGTAAATGGAAAAAAAGGTTCATACAAAAAAGGCAGATTTCAAAAAAAGATTTGACACAAAGGCAGTTTATCTGGCTCTATTGTGTATCCATTTAGAAAATGACAGTGGTAAGTATGTCAACGGAAAGCATTCATAAGATATGAATAGGAATACTTTGAGCCTCAGATTTGTCATGCTGTGCTTGCCAGCTCCATCATCGAAAGAATGCCTATATTTTGGGGTTTTTGGGCATCAAATTGCTCAGTAACCTAGAGCAGGTACAGAGATAGAGGGAGAAATTACACTATCTTCTTACAGACACTTGTATACCTCGGATGTGCTACGGTATGAAGTCCACTAAACAGGTGAAATATGAGTGAGATGCATGTTTATATGAGCCTTTATATGTGCCAGGATGATGGTTTACTGCATCCATTCATATAACAGCCGTCCCATGTAGCTATATAGTATTATAGGTGTAGTAGTACTATGGGCGGGGCCCTGGCTATACAGTTTTGAACGTAATGGGGCGATTACCTGTTCTTGTACATTAATATAATTATTCTTACAACTCTTGTTCCCTTATTATGAAAACTGAAATAACT